ATAATAATATATAATAACATAATTATATAATAATATATAAAAATATATACCATTCTTCTTCTTTCAAATTTTTTACATGAATGCCTCGTTCGCCACACCCTAGTTCCGGCTAAGTACATTGGACTCTGTTACGTCCAACCGTTGTCACGTTTTAATGCATAGAAAGTTTTAACGTATTTTTCCCTAAACCTTCTTAATAAAAAATATGTAAATAATACTTCTTAATAAACCTTGTTTCCTGCCATTATTTTATTACTTTCAATTGCTTTCCTTTCCTTTTTGTCCTTTTATTTTCCTTTCAATTTATCCCTTTTGAAAACCTCTTTTGAATATTCAGAATTGTAGGCAAAAAAAGGAGTATATGTCTAACGAACTTATTTTACGACTCATCTTTAACGGACTCTTGAGTCATTGTCACTTTCTCCAGTTTTTCCTTATCCCTTTTATGTACATTTTTGGTACTTTAAAATCTCACATTATTGGTTGGAGCTGATAGAAGACTCCACCTTTTTTGTCAATGAAAAGATCCTTCTAGCTCAGCTCGAGTTAGTCTAATTTCGTAAGCCGTACTCTCGTCATCAACCTTAGCTCGCTATGCCTGTAAGTTTACTTGTAACTAAAGTGATATATTTCTACGGTAGTTGATTAGAGTTGCGTTGTAAGAATGAAAAAATTTCGGCACGCGATTAAGGGACTACATACGTGGTAAATAAAATTCACACATATTAGCAACCAAAATCCTGCTCTTGACCGTCATTTGGCCGATTATATATCATATTTACTCGTTTGCTTGTAACACCGTTGAATAAAGCGCGCTTGGTCAAAAGACAGCCGAACCTTTTCTCATTATTACAAGTTGCGGCGTTCTGCGCTCGTAACAACTCGCAGAAGATTGGTTCTGTCTCACTTTCATCCGTCCTATTCTCGGCAAGAGGCCGTTGCCAGCAACGATGCCGAAAATGTCACGCGCACATGGCTATCCATCCGTAATTATACAGGCGCCGTTATTGCATTCCCCCAGGCAAATTAATATTGTTGATTATGTACATATATCATAATGACTGTAACAATGACGGCGACAAACGAACGCGCAAAAATGTAAATGCGGAAAAAATGTATAGAATAGATTAGCGGTTGAATAAGTGAACGAAGACTAAGCGAGGCAGTGTATCGATCGGGAACGATTAATAAATGAAACCGAAACGCATAGACGGTGTCCCAGGTTGGTCATCGTCGAGCAATTCGATCCGTTGCTTATGCACGAGCTGTTTGTTATATCGCGTTGTGGCGCCTAACCATGGAAGACCTTGGATTGACGCTCCTTTATTACGTTAATCTGAAATATAATTTATTAATAAGAGATTATTAGGATGAATACACTCAATATTATATAACTAAGATAAATATACTTAATAAATATTTATTAAGTGTATAGATTAAGAAACTGTTTATCATCATACAATTCAATATGGAAACATGAACTTGATAAGAAAAATGTTTATTTATTTCAGGAATTAATATTCATGTTTATTTGCAATTGTTTCTAAAAACTGAATATTCGATTATTCTTTGAAATTTATATTATTTACCGGTCAATATTTAATATTATGCCAGACAAAAAAACAAGTTCAGAATTTAAAATTTCAGTCGCAATATGGCTTCGTTTACCGATGCATTTTCCGTATTTTCTGATGTTGGAGGTATTCTTCTAATCACTGTAAATGGCAATGAATGGTGCTCAACGTGATTTACGTAACATGATGTGACGGCATCTCGACAATTGCTGAGCATTCAATTATCATGAGTCATACTTTTAGTATTTGCAAAAATTACGTTTCACATTTTTGACCTATTTTTTCATGGAGGTTCTTTATCTCTTCATAACTGCTATCACTTATCGTAACTTAAAGAGCGCACTTAACTGTATAAAATAACTATACAGTTACTTATAAACCGAACTCGCAACTGGAAAGAATATCGCAATATTTAAAAAGATTCAATATAACTTATATAACTTGTGTAACCATTGTTAATTTAATTATTTGTATATAATTTATTTGTAATATATATATATGTACATAACATAATTATATATATATAATTATGTATATATTAATACACTATAAACGTATACATATACAAAATTCTTTGCAGATATATCTGCTGCTTTTTTTGCTGCTATACATCTCGAGCTACGCACTGATTGCGCGTTTTAGACGCCGGGATCGCGAGGACTATCTGTCGGTGGACGAGGATGAGGCCACCGTGTACAGGATCAGCCTCTGGCTGTGCACGGTCGCCCTGGCGATTTCTGTCGGCGCGACCCTCCTACTTCCGGTGTCTATCGCTAGTAATGAGGTCCTCATCTTATATCCAAACAGCTACTATGTCAAGTGGCTCAACAGCTCCCTCATCCAAGGTAAAATCTTGAACTGAATATATATATGTATATATATATACAATATATATATATAATCTAAAAAAATATATATTTCAACATGAATCACTTGAGATATAGTATAAATTAAGAAATAAATGTATATGTGGATGGAAGGATAGAAGAATCGATAGAGAGATAAATAAATAGATTTATCTCTTTATAGATAGAGTAGCCTTTTTTTATTCTGAGGCAATTGTTTAAAAACAATCACATTTTAATTCGAGATAATATTACAATTATACATAAAAGATATAAAAAATAAGATTAAAGAATTAATTAGCTTTAAAAGATTAAAGCCTCAATAAAACGAAAGAATGACAGAATAAGATATCACCGATAAATTCGTCTAATTTAATCCTCAGATTATATCTCTGTAGTAAATCTGTAGTTATATTCCGTAAACGTTATATCATATAACAAGATTAATTTTCATTCACAGGTCTATGGAATCACGTGTTTCTGTTTTCGAACTTATCACTTTTTGTGTTTCTGCCTTTCGCCTATCTTTTCACGGAATCGGAGGGTTTTGAAGGCCATAAAAAGGTGAGACAAAATTTAGAAAGATTTCTAATAACAAGCCCTCTAACGCTTTTTATGGCTATTTTGTAATTATAGGGTGTGATGGCAAGAGTATATGAGACAGTGACAGTTCTCTGTCTCTTAGGTACCCTCGTACTAGGAATGACCTATGTCTTGTCGGCCCTATTGGATTATCAAAACTCAAGTTTACATACTGTGCTCAGTAAGTATGCATATCACGTCGCACAAAAGTCTTTTTATACAGTTTAAATATATTCATCTACGTTAACGATATCTATCGTAACTTTATGAGCATATGTGTACGTAAATATCTCGAATAAATGTCGACTGAGAATGATTATCGACGTGATATAATCTTCTTTACAGATATATGGAGTTATTATTTACCTTTTCTATATTCCTGCGTCTCATTCGTCGGCGTAGTAATGTTATTACGTAAGTATCATACAACTATTATCTACACAACAGAGAAAATATCAACTACCTTCAAACATAATATTTTTTTCCAAGAAATTACTCTCTAACTCATGAATTACTCATTCCGCAGTATGCACTCCAGTAGGATTTGTACGACTGTTCGATGTAGCGGGGTCGTTTCTTGTTAAACCCCAATTTCTAAAAAACTTAGATGAAGAGTTCTTCGCATATAGATTAGAGGAGGACTGTATCCGCAGAAGGTAGCATCTTTTCCTTTCTTTTTCTTATATTTTTATGTGCATTAAATATTGTAAATTGTCGTCTAATGTTTATATATACATATATATATATATATATATATATATATATACATACACAATTTAGCATATGTTCAGATTACAGCACGTAAAAACTACGGGGAAGTCGTACATATCGCCGATGCCGATGTCGCCGGCAATGAACTGTGGCTGGTCGCCGCATGAAGACGACGAGCCGCTACTGCGCATAAGTCCGGGTCTGCTGTGCTTGAGAAACGGTGCTCTGCAAAAGGGTCTTTCTCAACGGCTGGATGATATTCAGAAGCGGCGACAGCTGCTGGACCAACAGCGGAAGACCTGGTGGGTTCGGCGCACGCTACTTTATCCGGTAGCGATGCTGGCGCTGCTTGTTCTGTCCACCGCCACGGCTCTATTAGCGGTGCAAAACACTATAGAATTGCTGATAGGCATCAAAGCGTTGCCGTTGAGCACGAGGGTTCGTGTTTACTTCCCTTCTTTTGAATTAATCGATTTTCTAGTCGTGAACTTTGCTTAAATTATTAGTTTGATTTTATTGTAATAAAAAAAACATTTTAAATTTATCTTAAAAAATTTCTTCTACAAATTATTTAATGCTTTTGTTCGGTGATGGCATTTTTATCAACTGATCTTATTTCACCTTTTTTTATATAGTATGATCTTAATTTTACTTTGAAAAATTAGTCTTTTTTTTTTAATTTGACAGCAATTTACGCTCGGCATCAGTTCCCTGTCTAAGCTTGGGCCCATAGGTGCGACTATCGAGGTGGCGGTGATTCTTTATCTGGCCGTGACTAGCGCGATCGGTCTGTACGCTTTACCAGGCGTGAGAATGGTCCAACCAAGACTTCGTTCCACGCCGCTCACCCATCTCATCGCTAATTGCGCTCTCTTGCTTGTGCTAAGTTCGGCGTTGCCGCTGTTATCGCGAATATTAGGTAATACATAAATTGTCTGGATGTTTTTATTTATATCCCACAAGAAAAGCTCAATTCTAGCCATTTCACTTCATTATATTCTGAAAAATTGAAAATTAACAATAGATCTACTTGTTTTTTTTTTTCGTTCGGACACTATAGATATACAATTGGATACGTTCAAGGTATCGTTATTTTATCCTTGTTCGCCTATAATTATTATTCTTATTAATGAGAATAAAATAATATCTGGATGCATTCGGATAAAATTTCTGAATGCCTTGCGTATTTACGAGTATTTTTAAACTAATATCCTTTTAATGATGGATTCTTCAATTAATATAAAATAAATATTTTTATTAACAAAGATATCAAAATACAAATCATTTTTTAATTATAAACGGATCGAGAAAAAATTCGTAAATAGAGCATCAACAATATAATTATAAATAAAATAACGAAATTACTATTTGTTATTATTATAACAAAAGTACATTGAAAAGAAGTAATACTAAAGAGCAGAATTTTACATGATTAGTATTTTATTATTGTTGCTCTGTTCACGTTTCTGTTGCTTTTCTCAGGAATGACAAACTTTGATCTACTGGGTGATTTCGGACGCATCGAGTGGCTTGGTAACTTCAAGCTCGTTCTCCTCTACAATCTAATCTTTGCGACGGCGGCGATCAGCTGCTTGACCACCAAGTTCACGGCAACCGTGCGCAAGGAAATCTACGCCCGTCTGAGGAGCAGCTTGCTCGGCATCTTTAGGACCACGAGCATCACTGCCGACGCGAAGAAATATTCACCGTCGTCAGGGATATTTCCTATAAAGGAAGATTAGACTGATTTGTTATATTATATAATTAATATAAACAACAGAGAGAGAAAAGAGACGCCGGGATCTTGCGAAAGTTTGCCTGGCCTTTTATGATCTTGTATGCAGAATTACAAGGAGCTCTTGAATTTATCGAAGACGTGAGAAATTTGTATCATACGACGTATGTAAGAAGAGTGCTGACACAGAGTTCTCGAATTTGCAGATCATTGAACGTGTCAATTCTTCGATGTTCTAAAACTCTTGGATTCCTAGACTGTTAGATTCTCACGTTCTCGAACAATCATGCCAAGGTCCTCTGTATTTTCATATTCCAAAATTCCGAAACTTTCGTTTTTAATTTTTTTAAAAATTAAATGGATCCAATATATAAAATACTAAATATATAACAGTATATTTACATAGACACCTTGCGTTATCTGATTGGCTTTTCCAAGGAATTAAATCGATTACGTTAAAATCGGTGAACTTCATCGACGATCCGTACGTAATCTTTAGATTTCTTTTTTTAAAGAACCACACACTTTTGCGTGCTTTTATTCCCGTGCCATTGAGAATTGCTGTATTAAAGAGCCAATGAAACTTTCGTGAGAACCTAAAAGTTCATCGCTTAAAAGAAGCGAACGCTAGTGATTATAATTAAGACGCGCGAGGCCAGTCAAGGACATGGTCCGATAAGGACAGCAAGGCGGTCACATTCGTAATACGTAGCGTTAAGTATTTATTACATTAATGCTAATTTTTTAAAATATATTTGTCCGAGCACGGGACAAGGACTCAGCAATCGAGCGAGTTTATGTACATACGCATCACAATCGAATGATTAATTTATAATGGATGACAAGGACTGCAAGGAGGATACGATCTAGGTTACGCATACATGAGGTATTGAGTGAATTTTTTTCATCAATAATGTAAATAGGTATCTAACAAAAATCTATCCTCGACAGAAAGAACATTCGATAAATGTTTATTTTCATTTACCTTCGAATATGTTCTCATTTTACAATTTTTAGTTGACGTATATGGAGGGCAAAATGCAGTTTTAATTTAAGTAATAAATTTTAATGTGACTGCTCGAAATAAAAACCTAAGAAATATTATTAACTAGATTATAACACGAAAGCGTAAGGAATTGTTTAACGATATCATGCGGAAAAAGAAATGTTCTTAGACTGAATGAGTTGTAATAAAATGAGATTTTAAGAGATTTATACATATTCTAATTGTATATATAAAGCGTATATATTATAATAAATCACACGATTTTTTAAACACTTGCGATAAGATGACGAAGGAAACTAACGAGACTATTTTATAAGCAGAAAATTATAATGATACAAATTTCGAAAAATATCTCATTAAAACAGCCGCCCTGAATCTTTAGAACGATATCATAGATGATGATTTATTCTTTTTAATATCTGTAGAAAAAAAAACCTTATTTATTATAATTTAATCCTACTAGATCAGAATAATCATCAAGTGTTAAGATGTTCCAGGCTTTATGTATCTGATTTTGTGTCATGTTTTAATTCTAGTCACATTTTTACAAATATTTACACATTTTTTTACGTACATAGCTTTTTTACATCGTCATATTTTTCTTTCGTTTTTATTTGCGTTGATTTAATCCTGCTGATCTGTTCGAGACTATTTTACTCAAAATGCAATTTATTTTTTTATTAACATTTTATTTATAAACTTTTTTCGCTGATAACTTTGTTAATAATTTTTTTCTATAACTTAAAAATATTCTTTTAGAGTACTTAATCACATTGATAAAAACGATACAATCGTATAATAAATTCGAAAATAGATCAGCAGGACTGTTTTATTAAATAAAAGTGTATACACATCACCACGTTATCAAATTAAGTATAATTTGTAGATAAACCTATTATTGTATAATGCCACGAATTCTATCACGTATCACATTACTCCGTTATGTTCATTTCCAGATGGTATTTGTGTAATATCCTGATGATGACATGCGCAGAGATACCGCTACGTACGATCGAATAATAACCAGGTTTCGACACGTCCACCACAGTGGAGCCGACCCGACGCATATCGGTCTGCTTCTTGGAATTACTGGAGCTGTGAAAGATACCATCGAGCTGTGGCCACAATGCGCAGAACTCGTCCGGGTGTACACTGCTTGGCTCTTTGCTAATGTTAGCACTGGTGAGTGCAAGTGGACCAGCGATCTTGGCGACACTGCGAATGAACTTGTCATTGGGCACACGGATACCCACGGTGTCGACGCCCGGATTCAAAGCCTTGTTCAGAGCAGGCATGCGCCGCAGGCATATCGTGTAGGGTCCAGGAAGCAGATCCTCTAGCATACCAGCTGGAATGTCATCCGTGATGCCCCATATACATACCTCCTTAACATTACTCAGGCAAATCGCTAATGGTTTCCTTTCGTCCCGCTGCTTAATCTCATATAATCGCTGGATGGCGTGTGAATCAGCAGCTAGACAAGCCAAACCGTACACTGTATCTGTTGGTACTGCAATTACTTTGCCCTGTCGCAGCAGCTCCACTGCCATCGCAACACTCCGGTTGCCGCCACAAAAAAAATGTTTCTCTTTTGGTCCAAACATCTTTATCTCTTCCTTGGCTTTATTCATAATAACTTTCATGGGACCCATACAACTAGGATTCATAATATATCTAATGTTTGCAATATTCCACTTCTATAAAGAAAAGAAAGAAACCATATGAAATATTAAGAACTATATGAAAAAAATCAGTAATATTAAAACAATCTTAAACTATTTCATGTTTTTTTGTTTTGATACACAAAAACATTCATTCTAATTGTAATATGATCATTTTTTTTATTTATCAAGGTTTAATTTAGATATTCATGAAATTGTTTCTTTATGAAAAATAGAATGCAATGTTTTTTCTTTCATTTAATGAGAATCTAGATTCTTCTTTCTTGCTTAACCCTAGAATGTTACATTTCTTCTTGTATTAACACTGAGCGAAAATTCATCCACACAATTAAGAAATTTTTTATATATGTTTTTATGTTTACTTTATAAGTTGTTATGTGTTAGATTAACTAAATATTATTTTTAAATAGAAAAATAAATTTTAATGTTAAATAATATTAAATATTATTTTAAACTATTAAAATTTCAATAAAAAATTATAATAGCATAAATTATAAACTAAACTCATAAAGTACAAAAGTAAAAAATTATTAAAAAATTACAGTAGTGAGGATTAAAAGATATCTCTAACAATAAGATAGGAAACAGTTATGTGATGCACAATCTCTAATTTTTCTTTTCTGATTTATTATAGTTTTATTTCCTTTATTTTTTCTTTCTTCCTTTTCTGATATAATCTCATACACTTTACAGCAAATCAATTCTAATCTTCCTCAGTTCTACTTCTAATTTAGGATGAATTAAAATCATATTAAGGAACAGCTCACAAGAATAAATCAATATATAAAATAAAGAGCTTTTCCAATCAAATATTTTCAAAAATATATCGTTCTGTTTTTAGCTCAAGGCTCTTTATTTTACATATTGATCAAATTTAAAAAGTTTCTCCAGAGTTTCACAGAAATGGCACTAAGAATGATTTAGATCAAATAGTAAGTCTTAATTTTTCTTCCCCTATTTTTACGATCGTCCTAAATTACCTGCGAATTCAGTCGACTCGCCACGTGTGAGCACACTCGTGATTGCAGCATCTATAGAAGAGTGTCATAGGCTCGTCAGCAGAGCGTGTCTGTATCTGTTTAAAGTAAGCACGTGGATGTGAACACTTGGGGCAACGTTCTTCTGTCGAGTCCACTCCCATCCACGCGGACTCAGCATCAAGAATATCAGCACGCTCCTTGCCCGTGAAGTAAATGCGTGAGGTTACCCGGGACGTTATTGGATAAATGTATGGACACGTGGGGCATGCGAATCGATTGCCTGATGGATTCTCCCGGAACCTGAGAAGATTAGCGCAGAACGGACAAAATCGCAACACCATTCTTCATTCCTACCTCGAACACGTACATACAGCGTCGATACAGCCAGTTGCAGCCAGTATCAAAAATGGCCAACTCTCACCCTCGCCCCTCAGTGGAAATAGGGTGCATCTGGAAGCACTGAACGCTCAGTGAGCTTTTTCATCTGATTGGCATATTCCATTAGATCTAAAAATATAAACCAAACGCTCAATGAGCGGTCGTGCTGGATGCACCCTATTTCGAACATACTCCAGATCGGAGTGCCCCGTGCGTGTTAAGGCAGTTCTAGATGCGTTTTCCGAACGCAGCGCGGGTACTGGAATACCGGCACGTGTCGCATGTCCTGTGACAGCGGATTGCCAAGCATTGAGTGGATTTGTCAAACGAGGATAGTCAACTGGACGATTATACGGTAAGCTTTCTCGCAAGGATTCCTCATCATCTCGACGTCAATGGCAACAGCATGCTCAAACCTTTTGATTATTCTTCATTGACGATCTTGAACGACAATTTTTTCAGGTTATGACGTATCCTGTCTCTCAATCGCTTGGCGGGACTGCTGGGAGATGTGGCGTGTAACCGACGTTTCTACTCCGTGGACTTTAGGGAGTCGTCTTCCCACTGACGCGGCGCATTCCTAAGCGCCGTTTTTTTAACGCGCTTTTAATTCCTTTTTTTCCTTGCCGCGACATGGAGACTGATCACAATGCGGCGTTTGATTCCGTGGCTGTATTTGCTCCGATTCTTTTAATACTCGCTACATTCTTGACGATGTTCTACAGGCTCAGGTAAGTCACTTGCACGTATCGCTAATACCGGCATACGTTTTATATACAGCCTTGGCCAAAAATATTAAACACTTGTACTTTTCTTATTTATTAATTTGAAATTTTTTACCTTATTTCCTATTTAATTACTGGTATTATAAGTTTAAAATATTTATAGAACAAAGAGTGAGTAACCCATAAATGTCAAATTGATTTTTTAATTAAAACATTGAAATAAGATACTTGATACTTTTTGGCCAATTTTTATAAAGCTATATATTTTATTACTTCTACTTTTATTGCTCTCGATTCACTCTTTGTTTTTAAGAATTCACCTAATTCATTATGTATGCATATTTCAGGGCAAGATGGCCTGTAAAAGTAAATTGCTGGTTTTGTAATGAGAATACGAAGATCTGGAGACAGCACCTAGATTGGTGGTTATGTCCTTGGTGTCAACAATATAATGGCTTTTCCAAGGTAAAGGGAGCTTTTCAACAGGAAACGTTTTGATACAGAAATCATTTTATCTTTATTTGATATTCAGTCAGAGAAACAAAGACAGTGACTCTAAAGTAGCAAAGTCAAATGATAACTTAATAATATCTTTAACATCAATGAAACGTCACCTTTATTTTTTCTCTTTTTATCTTCAATGTACAAGAAGTTCACCTAAAAAGTATATACTTATAGTATATTCACCTGTAACTGCCATTTGATAGAAGAAAATTTCTTTTATTTCTTAATGTTTATAATGATAAATGTGAAAAATACTTGTTTCAGAATGGCGATTATATGTACAATATTCCAGAACAGTATGTAACACCAAAAGGACATACAAGATATTGCAGACTGTCTGAGGACAGTGACAGTCATCATGTCCTCAAGGATAGTCTCTGTGCATGTTGTAACAAGCGAGAAAGTCTGAAGCTATCAGAACTGGCCAATTTTGAGCCCAAGGACGAAAATCTTTTTAACACTGAACTGAAAGCATTTAAGGAATACCTGGAAGCAAGATATCCACTGTGCGACAGTTGCAAATCAACAGTTAGAAATGTGCTGTACAGGCAGGCGGTGTGGCTAACTCGTTATAAAATGCTATTCTTTAGGCAGAAACCACTTAAAATGTTTATCAGTGTAAGTACATTTGTAGAAAAAATTGTTATTATAAGTCGAATAAGAGAAAGAATTCTATTTTTGAACGAAACAGGTCTTGATGATTTTTTTGGTCCTAAATGTTTATTATATCATCGCAAATACCTCTTAATACTTCCATTAACGTCTCTATCAATGTGTAGTTGTAGAAACAAATATCATTAGTTAATATTGTTGCAGAAAGCAAAAAAATCAGAAACAGTTTTCCGAGTTATCTCGACAATTCTGATCTCGATAGTCATGTACAACCACGACTTTATTTGGCTACCAATCAGTGGACTGTTCTTTCATTTGTGCGCTTGTTGGTCGAGCTTGATGAGGAAAAGGAGTTTTGATATATTATTAATATTTTTATGGTTTTGCGTCATTACTCTCATGTCCATAAAGGATTTGACAATTGTTCAAAATCCCTGGGTTACAGCAGAATACATCGTGCAGTACCGTATGGTGAGCTTAAACAAATGGAAAATTATTGTATTATTATCTTAATACAACTTTTTTATTGCAAAATTTATTATGGTCCGTCATAGACGTACTACGTTTTTCATTCTGTGCATTTTGCTTCGTAGCGTAATTTCCTAAAGATAGCTCAAAAACGAGCTGAAATCCGTAATGTAATTTTTTCTGTTTTTTAAAATTGTATTTTTTATTATTTATTATATTGTATTTATATTCATTTACGCAATTTTTGCGTTTAATTTTTATTTGCTCCTTTTTATTATTGTTATTATCTTGAATATATTTACACATTCAGTGTATCTGTCTATTTCTTTCTAGGTATCGGTTTGCGCATTTATTACAGCTTTAGTAAGCCTAAGATCCAGCTTGTATAAAAGTACTTCAACCGGCTCGGTAGTGTTTAAAAAAATCAAGTTGCACTCACGAGATGTTCCATCTCAACTCGAATGTAACAGTCAAAACAGAAACAATACTGTTCCAAGCGAAATGAATGACAGTATTAAATCGTCAGTCTATGCAGCGAGCGAAGTGTCTCCCACTGAAATCAAATTCAGCAAGTCGCATTCAGCAATGCAAGTATCTTACATTACTTCTGCTTCTTATAATTCATCAACATTTCTACGAAGTTGCAACAAAATTAGAAATCAGGGAAAAGAGAATTTTGCAAAATTTTTGGCCTTGTAGAAGTATATCACATCTACAGAATTTTAGAATATTACCAACTTAACAATGAAATTCAAGTAATGTCAACAATATTAATAGTAATTTACATAGCTATATTAAAATATTTAACGGTTTTTTTATATCACCAGATGAAAATACCAAAAATTTTAAAATATTAAAAGTCAAAGGTAATAAAATTTTGTCTAGAAGTTAGGAAAAAGTTATAGAATTAAATGTTAGATCTCATAAGACTGTACATGTGTGAAAAGTTTATAGATTGAAGAATTTCAACTTTCTCTCTCTCTCTATTCTATTATTTTTATTTATCTATTTATTTTTCTAGATTGAGACGGAAGCTGTCTACGATTACAAACAACGGTACCAATGGTTCCCTAAACTCCGTCTCTCAGAATGACAGTCCACCGGATAGCTGTTTGAACGACAGTTTAAACTCTCTTCTCCTGAACGAGGATCCTCCAAAATACGACAGGATTACAAAAATGGCACCGGCAATCTTCGAGCGAAGGGTATACAGCGCGACAAGTTCTGAGAATCTGTTTAGGAAATCCGGCAGCAAGCATAGATGCATCCTATCTCCACCGAAGCTCAGATCGGTGACACAAACCTCGTGGGTGGCGGGCGGTTACTGGCAGGAGAGTATGATCCCCACGCTGCCGACGCTCTCGCGCTCGTCCAGCCAGAGCTCCGGTTTCGGATCGGTCGGCTCCTCCAATCTCGCGCCTTCCCGTGAACCATCCGTGCACGAGCTCGATCGGTGCTCTTCCGCTGCGTCGGAGATCTGGCGATGGTCGTGCCAGACGCCACGTCCAGGTCCTTACGTCGCGAGGCACGACTCGCCGGTGCCGCGGCCGCAATCGCGATATTCCGATGTGACGGGGAGTCATTTGCGAGCAGTGCCGTCGCCGGCGATCCGCGCGATGCTCAACACAGACAATCACGTCCAGGAAAGCTGCGTGCATGGACCAGACATTGGAGATGTCCAGAATAGCTCGGTGCCAGCATACGCTGGTCATCACACGACAACGATCGTCGCGAGCCCTGGCTGGCTCTCTGCGTTGCTCTGCGTTTCACTGATACTGAATATGATAGTGCTGTGCACTACGTTATTACGTTAACGTCGCGACGACCAGAATCGCCACGTCCAGGGTCGTTCACTGTGTTCACGCGGTAATTTTTACGAATCGCCATGGCTATTTATATGATTGCTAGCGTTAGTTAAATCTCGAGTACTCGGCGAGTCTAACCGCTTCTACTAGGAAGATCCCTCATGCCCATTTCTATCAATGAAGTAACTTCAATCTCAGTTTAACTTGTTTTTTCTTTTCCTGATTTTTGGAATTAGAAACAGATAAAAAGTTTAATTTATTTTTAGAGAAGATAATAATTGAGTGAAAGAGAGAGAGATTTTAGTTAATTTATATTGATAGAAATGGATATCAGTCGATTTTTTTCTCTTTGCGTGTGATCTACTGCCGATTCTTTAGGTTCTAAGGATTTAATATTCGATCTTGGGGTTATTTGGGAATATTTAGAAATGATATAATTTACTGCCAATTGGAAGATGAGCGCAATGCTCCGTTTTACTGCCGGGAAAACAGTAAATACGACGTTACTGCCAATGTACTTGCTCGTTGAACATATCTGTCAATTTTCGCCTCTTTTTATTGAATATTTATCCTAGAGACACGTTGCGATGTTTTGACCATCGTCGTCTTGGAATTTCTATACTGTATATAGATTATCTTCTGTATTTATGGAAACATTTGTTCACTCGTTTCTCACTCCTAGCGAGTGTGTGCCCATTTGCCATTCTCGAGACATGGTCTCTAGAATCTTAATTACTCGAACGTAGGACTGGACTTTACAGGGCAATTCTCGCTGAATCTCAGTTTTATGAATGCGTAAAACGTATTTCCAATTCGTATATTCCGAGTACGATACAATTTTCCGGATCGTGACAGTGTTGAAATGTGCGGGGACAAAGACTATCTGCGTATCTCATTCTTTAAAAATGATTTTGCCCGAAGAACACTTGCTGCAAGGTTTTTCATATAATGTTTTTATTTTTATTAGTGTATATTGATTAAAGTATACACTTTACGTAACGCTCTTCTTTGAGCTAAATTGTCCTGGTAAAGGATGAGACATGCAAATGTTTTTTCATATTCAGTAATTAATACAAAAGTTTCAAGCCTCAGTGATAAATACGTATGTAGTTTTAGAAATAAGATAGATATATTTGTTTACATGTTCTAGACATCTCTTGTTTTCCATATTATTTATCGATAAAAAGATCGATTGTACATACTGCCGAGAACTTTGTAAAAAAAGAGAGAAAAGGAAAGGTGTGCGCTCTGCGATAAATACACACAGGTCTCTTCTTAGCCCATGGATTAGGAAACTTGTTGTAATAATCATGTTGCTTATTGTATCCCGATTATTGTATGTTTTGATATCTACGATATTGTACAATTCTACCAAATAAGAATAAAACGTGAACTTTTACAGTACGATCTATTGACTATCGCTTTTAGTTCCGCCGAGACGAGGAAGATAATTCTCAAAATGCACAGGTAAAAATTAGAAATAATTTTATACAAATCGGCTGAGGAATATTAAAACTTTCTGTGTGATTGCATAGTGATTTTAAAAAGTAACGTGAATTAAACAAGTATATAAAATGAGGTAACTTTAACTCAAATTTTTTAAAATGCCTAGACAGCAAAATTAAAACATAAGACGTCTTAAAACGTTTTCTTTATCTAGGCATTGTTACAATTCAAGCCAAAGTTATTCTATTTTACGATAGTAAAAATTGAATTATCTCAGCTCGGATAGGGCAATACAGGATCTTTCGCACGCACAAGATGTGTGTGTATATATGTATAATATATTTTTTTTATTATGTTACCTTATAAATATATCTCTTTCGGAGATTACTTCGCCGGGACAATATGCGGTGCGACAATAAATAAATAAGTGAATACAGTCGTGTGATTTTTCCCTTGTTCTTTGCTTTCTTTTCAATATAAGCACTGTCGTTTTCGATAATCGAATAATAATAATAATAATAATAGTAACGATATCTTAAAATTACGGTTTTAATCCGAGGAGAATATTGTATTACAATTTATAATAGTACCTTGTAGCTACAGCCTCTCTTCTACACCCTGCATACAAATTTACTACCACCTAGTGTCTAGGAAAAAAAAAAACATTAGAATTGTAGCTATACGTTTCTTTTTTTCTCGTTTTCTTTTTATCTCGTCTTCGCTACTTCGTTCTGTTCCAGATGAGGTAGATCCGAACTTGATCGCTGATATACGGAAAAGTAGTCTCGCGTGACAAAAAAAAAATCGTTACAAACATTGCATAAACTGTTGACTCGAGCGTTCTGCTCGCTGAGATTCTTCGAGATAGTCTGTTGACGGAACGGAACAGGAGCCTATTCTTCTTTATCCTTTTGAATTAAGATCGCGATGAAGAAATAAAAAGCGCTTCGTTCGTCGTCGAGACGAAGGGTCTGCCAGTTGTAGATCGACCTCCTCTTTAACAGTGAGACTGACTTGAATGGTTGCGTGCATATAAATCGTTATAATCTCACCTACTTGACTGCGGATAAATATAGTATATTACTTATTTCTTTTTTTTTTTTCTTTTTGAGACACGCCGGAAACGTTACGAAAATATTATACCAATATAACTCTGTCTTCCCCGCGCTCGTCAGCGAACATCATTCGATTACATTACACATACATCACTAATAATAAGAATCGATCGTTGCTGTTGCGCTTAATAAGGGATTGTTATCGCCTATCACAAATATCCGGTAGCGATTTCTTACATGATTTCTTAGATAATTTCGGCTTCTTAAATTATGTCGCGAAAAAGGGAGAGGGGGCGGGGGGGGGGGGGGCGGTTGAAAATCGACGATCGTGGAATTACAATTGTTTGTCGAAGCCGGCGACCATTTAACAATTGGCAGGAGAAAGAGAGAGGGAGATAAATTCATAGATCGTATTACAGACGCATTACAATTTCAGCGCAACACGATTGAGGGGAGTAAGAATACATTCATCAACGTCTAAAGGGGACGCGCGTTGAAGAGAGAAACATTAACACTATTAGGTGTCTGTATTATATTTGCGATAAATACAATCGTGCATAAAACGCATGCTTGTTTTCTTTCACCGTGCAAGGGAACCTACCCTTTCCTTTACATTCCGTCGCGAAATTATGTATGTATATATGTGTGTGTGTATGTGTGTTGTGTATATGTATACGAGACACTACCGTATCTCCAGATATATATATATATATATATCGTATATTTACATACACCCGACAAAAATAGTTTAACGATAATTGCACTCGCATTAATGCACTACACTCTTGTCGGTCGTCTTCGCCCACGTACGAGCAAAGAGAGAAAAAAAAGAACGTAACTTCCTCATTCTCGATACAATTATATATCACAAAAGTTAAGAGAGAACTTGGATGGTGTGAGAAAAAAGAAGCAAAGTATTAGCTGAATACTTCTTCTAAAGACGCGTTTACATTATGCCTCGCTCCATCCTGTGTCACGTGTTCCACGACAAAGCTTCCACAAAGGTGCAAACTCACTAAACCCGTTACCGTTAAATAAATCCCTCGAGCGCTCTCATTTTAGCTTAGCTCCGAGAATTTCCGTATCGTGGAGGATCGAAAAAACGTATTCGCATTTTATAAATAGCGTCCGATGAAGAGAAAAATTATATTGATTATGAGCGCAATCGAGAGCCTCTCGCGAAAGTGACAATGAACGCAGGGATCGTAGAATGACGCCTGTAATGAGAAAATGCAATGCCGTGCAAAGCCATCCGTTAGCGCATTTTCCTTACGATGAGTTTACAATAGTTATTACGACGAGCGTAAAGCTCAGCTACATCTATCGTAAGCTCCTTACGATAGATGTAGCTGAGCTTTAAGCATCTACAATCAAATTTTAAGACGTAAATCTTAAAAGTTAGCTTTAAGCCTTAAACCATAAGAAATTGATTAATCATAATTGATTATTCTCCTCACACACATTCGACTATAATCACTCAATTTCTTACGGCATAAAACTTAAAAATTAAGTTCAATGTTTTAAAATCTCATCGTAGACGTCGATTTACAAAAATTTAATACTGGAAGGTAGTGATTAATTACTTATTATGAAAACTGTTCTGTGCCTTCTTAATACTCAAAATAGGTAAATTGATCACCGTACCTTTCAGTATTGAATTCGATTTCAGTAAAAGTCATGAAGCTATTCGCGATTAATTCGGCGCAATTCGTATTTTAACACGATTACAAATTAGTAACAATGACTATCTCATAATCGTACAAGAGAAGTCTTATAAAATGGATTTACAAAGAGACATACAATATTTATATAAATCGAACAGAAAAAAGAGCGTAGAAAATAACGTAATACAGGACGCGTGAAAAAATCGAGTTAGGTTTAAAAAAAAAAGACAAAACAAATCGCGAGATTTTTCGAAAAATATCAATGATGACGACACGCAAGCGCGAAACTCCAACAGTTTCTTCCTCGTTTCCTCTTCCACTCTTCTTTCCTTCCTCTCAGAAACGCGTTAAGCAGATTTCACTGGGTTTCATCGCTCGCTCGTAATTAGGAGAAGCGAGAAAGAAGAAAGTCCAAGGTTCACCGGAAGAAGTCTGAGGCTTCTCGAGTCGCTCGATGGTCGTCGGGCAGCAACAGCAAAAGGAGTGTGTCGGGGATAAATTAATCTAAATTAGACGCGAGAGAAACGGTCGGCGAACTATACACTGTATACGCACGATAGAACAATGATCGTTCGAATCGTTCTACGCGGAATAGGTCCTCGTGAATTTTCCTCGCTCCGATAAGATCGCGCACGAGTAAGATTAGCCATCGTGACGCACCGAAAACGCTCTGGAGAGACAATTTTCTCACTTGATCGGAGGTCAAGTGTGCCCTCCGGCGGCGTACGCACGAAGACTCCCGGACTCCTCGGTTTTACGACGCTAGAACTCGGTCCGAACTCTTATCTTTCGTACTTGGAGATCGGACAATGGTGGAATCCCTCTCTACAGTTTGTGGTATTAATGTCCATCTTCTATAGATTAACAACTTTAATTTCGGTTTATCCTTCTCTTTATCTTTCTCTAGTTTTAAGGGAAAGCTTAGAAGTGAACATTTTGATAAAAATAAATAAAACAAGTTTTTAAAAAACATAGAGTATAATTGAGGAGATGAGAGAATAAAAGGCAATTCTACTTAGGTCCTTTTTCCGAAAATTAGCTTTTCTAATATTGATCGTAATAAAAAAGTATTGCAACATATAACTTCTCAATGGTATTATATAAGTGTACATTGAATACTGTTATATCCCATTTATTGTACAATAAAAAAAGCAAGTTATTTTACTTTTTATCAAAATCAAGATTTTATAATTAGGCCTTCACATACCTCCATCCCTTCCATTATATTCAGGGAAACACACTCTATATTATATTAAAAATTATGTTCATTTCTAACACGCACACAATGCAGATAAGCTTTAATCTCGGTTTAACTTACTTTTTACCTTTTTCTAATAATTAAAAAAAAGTATAGAATAAGTTAATCAAATTAGGATAATTATGCAGTATAAGGGACTATTCTCCAATGACCTTGATCTTAACATATGTTGTCGAAGTCATGAGCCCGAGTGACCTTGAACAAATTTGCTAAACAAAGTCATGCTCAAAAGTTAGATTCTATTGAAGAACTTTTTTTGTTAATAACTTTTTAACGAACAACAAGCGACGACTAAAATTTGTTCAAGGTCAATCGGGGTTATGATACATATGTCAAGGTTATTGGAGGATAATCCCTTATACTGTATAATTACCCAAATCAATTAATCTACATTGGTAAAAATGGATATTAATTTTAATCTTGATTTAATTTGAAATTATATATGCGATATACAGACAATGAGAGCAATAAATAGCGCGGTAATTTAGGCGCAAATTCTTCAATTGTAATTTTAGGAATTCTACATTTGATGTTAATACAAACTTGAACGTTTCGGTTTCCTTGAAACCATCTTCAGCAGTTCTTTTAATCTTTTTCTGTAATATGTATTTCTACGAATATAAATGAACTTTCTCATCGCTGTTTAACTTATCTTTTTTATCCTTCTTATAATTCTTAGAACTAAAAAAAGATAAGAAGCAAGTTAAACCAAGATTAAAGCTAATCTATATTAGTAAAAATAAACATTAGAGAAAGAGATAAAGAACAATTTAAATCAAGATTAAATTGATTTTTGATGAAAGATCAAAATTAATCTGCATTGATAAAGATGAATATACAGCCTGTATCCGAGATCTTGTTTCGAGTTCTAGCGGCGAATTCCGTAGATACAAACCCGTGCACTTTTATCGCGAACAGAAATATTCTTATTAGCTAGCCAGAGATTTCTTACAATTACGAATACTTGTATAAGTCGCGATCGTCTTTACACTCGCTCGAAGCCGCATGTCCGATCGTCTTCTCGATTAGTAAATTGATATTCAAACTAAATACTTTTAAGTATTCATTGCCTTTTTCCCGAGATCTTCGAGGATCATCCTGGTCAATGCAACCGCACGATCCTCGCTATGAGCTCGTAAGATTGCGGCAAGTTGTTTTGGGTTCTCTCCGTTCAATTTTCAGACCGAATGCGACTTGAACAAAAACACTAAAGTACAAATTATTCCAAGAGAGTGGCGAGAGGCTTCTTCATGTAATTCGTTCGATTCAGACATTCATTTTAATATCTATTCATTATCGAATCATACCATCATGCATATGTATGTGACATTAAATTAAATAATTTATAAAAATTAACTATTTACATCGACAGGACATGCAGCGCTTGTGATACACATATATATGCCATATACATATTTATACATATATGTCATATATATCGTGTATAATTTAATGCACTTATCTTATATATACCTAAGCACATGCTTGCTCTGAGAAAAAGAGGAAAGAAACAATTAAAAGAACTGGCGGTGCTCTCTCCTTGCGGATAATATAGTACTATGCCCTTACTTCAATATTAATTATAACATTTATGCATATCCGTTATACATAAGAGCCGCTGGAATTCTTTTGTTTTCATCGATGAAAGCGTTCTTGCATTCGTTTTCTGTAAAAGTGAAGGGTATTTTGGCATTATGCGATCACGATCACTGTACGCTGTTACCCATATCTGTGTGTGTGTGATCAGGAACATGAAAAAAAAGAGGAAAACAAATAAATATCTAAAATAAACATCGGTTACAATCAAATAAAATTTCATAGTTCGTGAAATCAGTCGTGTGATGATAATATAAATGATACAGCGCGGTAACCGCAACTGAGAACGTCTCAAATAATTAAACTCGTCATGCAAAAGGATGCTTTCATTAAAAAGAAACGTCGCGAGGTTTGTTCGCTTTTTTTTCTTTGTTTTCATTCGCTTATTTCCTCTTTTATGAAATCGCGCAAGAAGCTTCGTGCCAAAGATAATAGACGTAACAAAAATCGACCCACTTACTCTAAAGCACAGCGATGCCTGGGGGGCCCCGTCACCCCTTTTGTAACGCAAAACCGAACAAACCCACTCAACGACATACAATGTAGGTTTTTTAATTAAGTGAATCTAAAAAAAGAAAACAAGATGATTGTATACATGTATGTACATATATAAAACACACGAGGGAAGTTTACAAAAAAAAGAAAGAAAAAGAGAGACGACGGCGACTTTGTAACTGGCGCGGGTCATAGTCGAATGGAGACAGAAGGAAAATTACTCCTTACCACGATTGCCGGTTCTAATGGCGTTGACGTTACTCAGGTGGTGTTGACCGGCTCGAATTGGCTTCGCGATCTGTGCGCTCGGTCCACGACGCGCCAGATTCTTTTGCCTAACTGCTTCTTTGATTCGATCCACCTCGTATTGGTAGCGCTTGCGGTCTCGCATCGCACCCTCCTTGGCGTCGCGAAGCGCCGTCTCCAGGGCCTTGACGCGCTCCATCGTCGCTCGCAATCGTTTCTCCAGTTTAGGCAGCTCGCAGCGAAGATCTGCGTTGTCTCTGACGAGTTGTTTGTGAACCTACAATATAAATATGTATTACGTATACACAATTAATTAATAGTATGTTAACACGTTTCATAACTGAATTAATTTTAAATGATCGGACCATCATGCTGCAATTTATGACATGTTTATCGTTGTTATATTTATTAAATTTCGTAATGGTTAAAAAAATTATAAAAATTATTATAAAGAGAGAAAAAGGCCTAATATACCAATACTATATACCATAATTATGTATCCACATATGATATAAACAATTATTTTTAAATTGTGTTTCTTTTTATAACCAAAACATCTGTCGGTCTGAACGAAAAATGCAGCGAGAATCATCGATACGGAATAAAAAAAGTTGATAGATTATAATAATAACATAAATATAAATAAAAATAACAAGAGAGGAAATTATAATCATGAATGATTGTAATAATTAATGTGACGTATTAATGGAAAATACTATATTGGTAAAGAAACATGTGATATGCATACATATAAGCTGTACCTTCGTCAATTGGTCCAGATTGTTTTCCAAGAAAGATATTTTCTGTTTCTGCGCGAGGGAACCACCGTCATCCTCATTATCCTCCGCGTTGATGGTCTTCTTTATTCTAGTCTGCAGATCTTGGACGAACAATTTGCGTAAATTGTGCAAAGTCTGCAATTCTTTGGCTACCGTGTCCTCTAAACCCTTCAGATCTTTCCTAGCCTAAAATCGATTCGACACGTAACCATAAATGTACATATTTTACTCAAATAAATTTATTTTAGAAAAATTAATTAATAAATTCACGTAATTTATGGATTACTCATCCGTTGCATGAATTTGTTCTACATACTTGTTCTCGGCGCTCATTCAATAACATAAGCTCCTGCAGTTTGACCGATTTGTTAGCCTCTTCTTGTTTCAATCGTTCATAATCGGCCTGCATTTGCTGGTGTGCCAGAGTAAATTTCTGATTAAGGTCTTTGAGCTCACTGATCAGTTCCTGCTTCTCAGACAGTTCGTCCCTGAGCGCCGCAACCTTCAGTATTAAATTCAACGTTAGAAAATTTGACGGAATCCGAAAAATATTGATTAAATATATCCAAAATTGAAAATGCAATCCATACGGAATGTATTCCATAAATAAACCTGTTTTTGATGCGCATCCCTCAGCTGATCCATCTGCTCCTCCAAGGCTACTCGCATCTTCGTCGCTGCCTCTTTCTCCTCTGCTTTCTCCTTGTTGGTAACCGCCTGCACCTGTTCAGCGGCCTTCAATTTGGCGCATTCCTCGCGCAACGCATCCACGTCTTCCTCCAGAGCTCGTTTGCGTGTCTCGGCCTCTTTCATGGACTCCGTTAGCGTTTGCATACGAGCTTCATGTTGTGAGATCAACAATCGGCATTCAGCCAAGTCTTTTTCATACTCAGAAACCTAGACATTTACGCAAAATAAAGATTGATTGGGGAAAAGTGACGTGCAGAAGTCCTGATTAATACGATGACGCGAACGCAGCCTCTGATTACTCACTTTCTTATTACAGTCTACTTGGAAACTTTCCAGTCCCTGACATCTCTGGACCAAATTTTTCACTTCAGACTTCATCTTACTGATAAACAACCGCGCTACTGTGAACTCCTCCTCCAGTTTACCGTTACTTTCCGGTGGAGCAATCTTAAATTCAAATTAAGATTAGAATTGACAAAACCGACCAAGTTTAACTAAAGTCTATTTAGAGATTTTGGACATGTCCTTACTTTTAGATTTTCGTTAGATTCACCACCGATAGCTACGCCGATTTCTCCTAGGTCTTTCAGGAAGTTTGCTAACATCTCCGCGATGCGTTTCCTTTGATGGGCCGACATATCACGTAATTGTTGCAGCTCAGACGCAGTGTTGTTTAGAGTTACTTGTTTAGCTAGGAGCTCTTCTGTCATTGATTCTTGCTCCTTGTTCTTCAACTCAACCTAAAGTTAGAATAGCAAGAATAAAAAATTGTTCGTTTTTTTTTTTAAAGTAACCTTTTTTCATTGTCAATAAGTAGTTACCTCTTGTGATTTTTGGTCATAATTGACAGCAAGCTCTTCCAGCGCTTGCAGCACCTCTTTCACCTCCTCCTTAGCGCTTTCGTTCTCCTGTTGTATTCGATTCATCTCTTGCTGCAGTTGCTCGTAATCTCGTCTCGCGCTGGCGATAAGTTCCTCCTGTTCCTCCATCTGCTCCTTCAACTTCTCAACATACTGAGATTGTTGATTGATTTCCTCATCCTTGTCATCCAATTGTTGGTAGAGCCTCTCGCGTTCCTCCTCGAGCTTCTGTCTCTCCTCGTTCGAAAGGGAACCGATCATAAGACCACCACCGGGAGTAGCAGGCATAGGACTATCATCCAACTTGCCTATAGAACAGAAAACTTTATGATCCATGCTTTATTTGCAAAAGTAATACATCTAATCGTGGAGAAAGATTAGATCTAAGATACAATATGAAAGATAATAAAAACTTCAAAAAAATAAATCATAAAAATAATAATATACGTGCGCTTTAACTGGATAATTCCAAAAATTTTATTAATTTGTAATATCTAATTATCGATTGTTTTATAATTTTAATATAAAAGTTATATATATAGTTAGGAGGACGCGTTTATCTGTCTTTATTTTACCTTCAACAGATGCAGTAATCGGTGTAGTAACATCAGGTCCTTCAATCAAGTTGACCTGCTCTTCCGGTTTAACAGTCTCACCCTGCCGCCAACGTGACAATTCCGATTCTAATTTGTCTACCTTGCCCTTCCATCTTGCCACTTTCTCTTTCTCGCGTTCGTAGCGACGTTTCCATTCTTCGGCCGTCAGCTCCTCGTTCACGCATACGACATTCTTGATAGTCTTGGCGCGTTTACCTGCAGTAAATATATTCCATAAAATCTGTAGAAAACAAAGTAACATGTTGTACACCAAAAAGATATACTATAAATCTACCGAAATCTAAAGTTGACTTTGTTTCGGATTCGTTAAAGCTAGCAGGAGAGCAACAGATGATAATTGTAGTCCTAGCATTGCCACCCAAGGATTCTTGTAGAATTCTCGTTAGCTTTGAGTCACGATAAGGAATATGAGTCTTATTGCCGTCAGCCAAGGCCGAGATTACATTACCAAGTGCAGACAGAGATTTGTTGATGTTCTTCGCTTCATCTAACACTGTTCCTTCTGCACCGGTTTTAGAAACCTAATAAAATACAAGAATATGATAAATATAATAAATAATAATCACGAAATAGAAAAAGAACACATTTCTAAAATATAAATTTACCTTTTCGGAACCGGCTAAATCAACGAGATATAATTTGCCGGAGAGTTTCTTTTGATTCTCCAAATTTTCTTGTTTAACATTTATGAGAAAAACGGAATGAGAACGTGAGCTGTGCTCGTTCATGTTGGTCACGGCGATGTGCCGGTTTGACTTGCCCTCCTCTATCACCTCGAACACTTCCTCAGGACTAGAAACAAACCGTTCGGTCGCACCCTTCACGAACGGCACCCGGTTCTTGTCTTCATGTACGCTTAAGTTAACCTTAGATACTAAAATAAAAATTGGAGATTTATTTTGAGACATATTGATTGTAGTTTTTAATAAATAAATCTAAAGTCGATTTTACGAAGACTTACCATCGAGAAGATCCCTGATTTTATCCATGTAAATCTCAAAGTAAGATACTTTGATATGAAATTCCAAGTTTTCTTCCATACCATAAATATGATTAAAGATGTCATTGACGATTCTCGGGATAATGCCCTGTTTGTTAGGATCACCGATGACTCCCTCCATTGTGTGCGTTTTACCTGCGTATTATGGATTTAAGTATGAAACAAAGATTATATGACTTTTATTCTACAAAATGTATATATATGTATATATATATATACCTATTTGTAAAATTCCTTAATTTCTCAGATATTTTCCATACTTTTGTTTCATAAAATTAAAGCGATTTTAGATATAAATGTAAAATTTAATAATCAAAACTCTAGAAATTTTGAACAAAACTCCTTCACATTTGCAAAACAAACTAAATAGTGTTTTCTAGGAAAATTAATACAACAATAATTGTGTTTAGTGAAAATAAAATTTTTCGTAAACTGTGTGTGTATTGAAAGATTCCTTAATATGATTTAGATCCATAGTAAGAAACAAGATCAATCATATTAAAGAATTTTATACAGTTGCAAAACTGCTTCTTCTGTACTTAACATAGTGCAATTGAATAATATAATACAAATCGATTTATGTACTTTCAGTGTTAATAATAATAATTTAATCCTTTTAATAATATTAGGTTACTGTGACAATATGAAATATATAATTAAAAGGATTAAATTATTTAATACTAAAAAATATATAAATTAAATATTGATTTGCATTCAATTGCAGTCAGTGTTGCACTAGTGTGTGTATTTTTCCAATGGAAAATATTATAAATGTTCGAAGAGACAATAGCTTTCTGCTAAATATTTAAAAAATTTTAGATTTTGCTAAGTTTTTCTACATACATATCCTATTGTATAATAATTATTTTGAATAAAGACTCTTTACCTGATGATGTTTGACCATACGCAAAAATAGTTCCGTTATATCCGGCCAAAACATCTGTGACGATAGACTTTGCGGCTTCATTGTAGACTTTGTCTTGTGTAGCATTCGGTTTAAATACTTTGTCAAAGAGGTATACTTTGCCCTACAATCGATAAATTATGTAACCAAAAATTCATGTTTAAAAAACGCTAAGCTTTTAATAAACATAAATCTCTTATTGTCATAACCACAATAAATTATATAATATTTTTATTTTACAAAACTAGAATCTAGAAGAAAACACATGCAAAATTTTAATTACACAAAATATTGAATTTCATAGAGTTACTGTTGCATTTATCATGTATACATTTTCCATCATTTAAATTCCTAACTAATACATAAATTAAAATAATAAGTAAAAATGCTCAACATAAATAAGCAAAGGCTATACTCAGTCAAAGCAAGTTTTAATGTTTAATATTATTTTTGTGTGATTTTTTTAAGAAGCTAACAGTAATATTAAATTGTTGGTCGATATAATTTGTGACATTACAGGATTGCCATAAAACTTGAAATCAAATGAGGACAAAAATATAATTTTAAAATATTATTGAAAGTTAAAAAAAAATCATGAAATTTTGTTTGGAAATCAGGGGAAAGTTATAAAATTTAGAGGATAAGAAATTTTTGACAATCCCTATTACATACTTCAGTTTTTCAGTCTAGAATTGTATTTCAAGATCAATAAATAATCAGTGTGCAGTTTGCTTGAAGCTGGAAATTATATAAAAATTTTCGCAACAATAGGATCAAACACAAAGATCCACTTTAAATATGACCTTATTTCTGGTACACAAAATGCTAAATGTAGAATAGACTTGGAAAATCCTTAGAAACATATGTGTGTTATGAATCATAATCCCATTATGGATCTATGTACAGATCTGTACAGAGAGATAAACATATATCTGCACATAATATATGCAACAATAACGAAAAATTAAACTGGATCTGGATAGATAAAATCAAGAATGGTCCACGTTCACGTAGGCGTGCAGCACTGCACGTACCCCAATGGAGATACAGTTCTCGTCGCCGCCGGATGGGAACTTGACGATGAACTTGGAGCCGGCCTTCTCCTCGGAGTCGTTCAGTGGCCGAAATCTGCATACTACTTTGATGCTGTCCTCGGCAGCGATCTCTCGCTCCCTTGGTGTCTCCATTGCCATTGCAAGTGGAGGCGACGGTCACGACGGCGATGACGAAGGAGGCGCGCGCGCACGCCTTTGTGTGTGTATACGAGTATACCTAGCACTCGATCGGCACGGCCGATACTCCTCTTCGCCTCCTCCACCACCACCTCCTCTTCTTAAACTGTTCTCCGCTGCTTCCAACTGTCCTCAGCTACGATTGTACGTGGAGTGAGGCATAGGCGACTAAGGCGACGGGATGGCATAGGCGCGTACCGCATGAAGGGACCGTCGTCTACCTATATCTGTCTCCTATTCCTTCCCCTCCTTCCTCGCGCCTCTCTCACCACACTCTGCTCCGACAAGCAGGCTCCGTCTGTCACCGTTCTCTTCGGCCAGCAAGATGGCGGCTGATAAGTGGCTGGCTGGCTGGCTGTCTGACTGTCGGCCTGATCCTGGACCACGAGGTCTGGCTCAGAGAATAATCCTCGTAGCAGGCGTGACAGAGGCGACGACGCTTCGGCAGGACCCGCCCGCGCGCTCGCTCGTACCTATCTCTCTCTCTCTCTCTCTCTCTCCTTCCCACCCACTCTTTCTTTCTTTCTCTCTCCCTCTTCGCTCACCCTCTCTTGTTCGATTCGAAAATCACAAGTCCCCGCGTATCGTTCTCTTTTGTTGCAGACCGCGAGAACGGAGGCGATTTACACGGCGGTGACGGCTACACGGCCTACCTCCTCGAAGTAATTCGGAGAAACTTTAACGAATAATTCCCCGCGCGCGCGCGCAATCGATGACGAGTCGCGGAGATGTGACGGCGACGTTGCGCGCTACATACGCCGCACACCTACACCTACACTTTTATTATTATCATTACAAGTCTTATTAGGCACACTGTTGCCTCACCTTTTCAGGTGTAGCCGTCTGTGATACTCCTGTTCTTTATAATCACTTTTATATTTATGACTCATCAATAAAGTATTATTATTATTATTAATATAGATCTGAGCTAATTGTAAACAAGTTATTGTTGCTGCTTCACCTTTCAAAGTGCAAGCTTCACTGTAGTCTATATAAACGCTACTCGTCAATGTCCAGTAGTACATAAGTTATAGCAATGTTGCAGAAACATAATGTTCCAGCAATATTGCAGCAACGCTGCAATATTTCAACAATGTTGCAGCAGCATCGCAATATTCCAGCAATATTGGAGTAACATTAATTACAAGTTGCAACGTTGCTCAATGCTATATGATAACTTGCACCTTAATTAAATTATTATTATGATTTGTTATCTTCAAATAAACTCATGCCTACATCTACACCCACGACTGGACGTGGGATGCAAACGCCAGCGAAGCACAACTCCTCTCCGATGGCAAAAATAAGAACGCTGAGGTGTGGACTTTGTCGTCTCGTTGCAGTTAATCTGCCTCGCATGTGACTCTCACCCGACTTGTTTCCGCAACGTCACAATCATTCTCGCCGACAATATAAACAATCAAAGAGATCGATACGCCTTTTCATTCTGAAATCAATATAGCGCGAACACTGTTATTACACTATTATTATGTCGCAACACAGAACTTTAAGCGTACGGAAAATGTCAAGTGCGTCTACAATGATGAAGTTTCTCGGTGCTTCATTTTCATCCGTTGTCTTTCTCATATATTTGCTTTTCGCTCGGTAATTTTAATAACGTCCTTTCTGCATTTTCAGTTTCTTCTTGAAATCCATCTACTTCAGTCCAAAATTTGAAATTAAAATTTCAAACACGCAGGTTACAAAATATAAAAATATAGGAAAAATACATTCGCGTGAAAGCGATACATCGATATATCGATATATCGATTTGGCGAAGCGCTGCAATATAAATGAGTATACTCGGAAATAGAGAAAATTTTATGAAAGATAAAAAATTTAATACGGTACAAAATACTTTGGAATGTACATTATAAATTAAGTAACATATAAAAGGCTTATCCTAGGCAATATCCACTGGATATGAACACTGGGTAGGAACACTGGGTAGTTATTCACCGGGTATTCACAAATATGGTTGCCAGCCACAGTAAACTCGACATAGATTCGCAGGATCTCGCGCTTCCTGCAGGAGTCTCTCGACCTGTCCGGGAACACTGGACACCAGACCGTCCTCAGTGCCTTGCAGCTTCTGTTCGATCCTTAAAAGAGCTCTCTTGGCGATCGTGTTGGTTTCCACAGGTACTAAAGAAAATAAAAATTAATGAACTAACTCGTGTCATAATTAATCAAGACAGTGTGTTGTGCGTGCGTGGTGCGTTATGTGTGTTTTGCGAATTAGGATTTATTGCTTACCTCGTCCACTATTTTCTGAGAAACGCTTTATGACGTCACTCTGCATTTTGCAGGCCTTCTCCGGTGTGATCGCCCACGTGAAGAGTGGATCATACAGTAAAACTTGAAGGAGAGTGATAATAATCTGCCTCTGATCGCGCAGCATTGTCATAGTCACTTCACAACTGCGCCTCATAGTGCCCTCGATTCCAGAGGCACCCATGGCGACTTCGATATCCCTAGTTAGCCTACAATGAGACAGATAACGAGTTAATAAATCCGGTTGAAAAAAATGATAAATTTCAAAAGAAAATATTAGAATCTCATATTTGACATAGGATTTTAATAAAATATTAAATAATTTAAATAATACTCATTTCCACACAAATGTAGATTAACTATCTTTGGTTCAATTTATTTTTCATCTTTTTCTATAGTTCTAAAAATTGAAAAAGATAAAGAGTAAAAGTTGAGCCTAAATTAGTTAATTTACACTGGTAGAAACGGATACAAGAAGCATCATATACGGTCAAAGTTAATATCTAACATTTATATGTAAATTTTAAATACATTCTTCATTTAATAAACTATTATGCCGATTACTGTCAAACTTAAAATGCAATCATAAACTGAAACTAAAATGACAATGTCACAATTTACATCGATCATCAATTTAATAAAGATGCTCTTAAGATGATGTTAAAATTTACATAGAAATATTATTAGGCACCAAAATCCAGGTTAATCCAAATTTTCTGCTTATTGTATATCTATATTATTCACATTGCGGCCTAGTTTAACTTATAATTATAAAATAATTCTTTAATGTGCTTTTCAAAGGCGAAATAATTCATATGATAACTCCACCTAAAAGGAATTGTCTCGGGAATGGGTAGAACCTTGCCCTGTTCAAAAGCCACACCAAAATCGATATGCACCACCTCGGCGGTGTGCTCGTCTACGAGGATGTTGCTCAAGTGTCTGTCGCCGAGGCCTAAAATGTAACCCGCGATAGACGTAGTGGCAACGCTACGTGTGTATGTTAGAGTCCTCTCGACCCAGGTTTCAGGCGATCGATACTTCTCCTCGAAGAAATGATGGAACGCTGGCTTCATACGTTTGCAGCATTCAAGAAAGACTCTCAATTTTATCTGGATAGACCGAAAGAACAATAAAAGGTAAAGAGCTAAAAATTTGAAAATAAAATTTCGAAAATTGATATCTGAAAATTCTATTTTGATATATAATTATAATAAAATTTTAAAATTAAAATATTAATACTTTCTCAGGTAAATTATTATTAGCATTATATACTTATACAATTTAATTTCTTTAAAAATATTAAACTTCCAAATGTTAAAAGATGTTTACTAAAATTATATTATACAATATAATGTAATAAAATTCATGCTTCGAGAACAGCCTATTAACACAATTAATAATGGATTAGGAATAATGGAGAAATTTCTAGCTATCATTTACCTCGTTTGATTCTTGCGCGACAATCCTCATCTTGTCTCTGGCAGCTTCCGCAGTCAGGCCGCGCGGATAATATTTCTTGTGCATACCTGGATTGTCCGAGCTGCCTATCAAAGTCACCGTAATAGGCACCGTATTATCACACCACTCTAGCACGCCCGACCTTTGCGTCAGCGGCACCACTTTGTACGTTCTGATACGTAGACTCCGCCGTTGCGTTTCTTTACACGTACGTAGCAGGGTGTTCATCACAGTGAACACTTGCTGCATCACCGCGTCTTGCCTTAGATCGTCTTTCCCCTTGACTAATTGCCGGCGTTGCACACCATTGGTACCGATGCAGATGACCTTTTTGGGCGCGTTCACGCCACCAACGAATTCACAGGAATCCTGATATGACCTTACACCGACTACGTCGTTGTAATTGCCCGACGGTCTCACAGGTAGACTCAGGGTGGGTAGGAGAACGTTGTTTAGGTTCTTGATCTACAAAATCAATTGATTAGACATATGGAATCAAATTTTGCATTGCGATCTATAGTTATTATCTTTTCCAAAGAATTTTTTAATATTTTTTTGATTTATATATTCTTCTCTTATAAGCTTAAATTATTTATTGCTTTCCGAAGGGATATCTAATTAATAATTTTAAAAATACCCTATTTATTGGCTGCTCCCGCGGTATCACATAGCGTTTATTAGGACAGCACCTGCCCTTGGGTTGCCAATAGGCAAGACTTAGCAATGCACGCGATAAGTTTTCCATTTCGTGAATGATTGTTCGTACAGAGGAGTCAGACAATCGGGTGAGAAGCTTCTTGGCACCTAGCACGCGACGCTCTTCCTTCTTCGCACCTGTCGAACCCGATTCATATTCGTCATCACTGTGTAAGTTCTTTAGCGCCAGTACCACAGGCAATGTATGATATGGATGTTCCACGGCGCATCGTTCAAGGATTCGAAAGATTCGTGCGGAAAAGCTGTGCTGTTGCTTAATATCATTGCTTATATGAGCAGCCAACTGAGGCACCAGCGGCACAAATTTAAACGAAGGCACGGTGTCCAGCTCGTCTAACAGCTTCTCATTCACCTCGTCGTCGCACATGTTGTCCAACCAGAGTGCTACTAGCCGGAAGATTAACAAGTTGTACTTCTCGCTGCTGCGCAACGTCTTTAAATAGTATTTCAAAGCTTGTGCGAGATAATTGCGCTTCTCCTGTTCAATGTTTTTCAGCTCGGCCGCGTCATTCGTCGATTGCTTTTGACTGATTATCACGGCGCGCTTGAGGTACTGATTACTCATCATCTGCGCGTGGTCCACCTTATCCGTACTGCTACAAGCATATTCCTTCAGAGCTTCGTATGTCGGCGAATTCATGTATGTACTGATTTGTTGGTACTGTGCATCGGCAAAGCGCGCCAATGCAACCTATAATGAAAAAGTATGCCAAGATAAATAAAATTCTTTCTGTTGAGTTCTGTTCATTAAGAAGATGAATGCAATATAACACACATAATAAAAATAAAAAATTTAAGTAGAATAACTTCGAAGATACAATTTTTGAAATGTTCATAACTTCAGTACGGAATCTAAAATTTCGGAAGTAAAAAAAAGAATATAGAAGATAAAAATCGAGAAAAATAAAGAAAAGAATAAAACTTATAAATAATAATGTAAATCGATTTATGCTGTTGTTGCCAGCAATTTCTCACTACTGATTACTTTACATATATTTATCCTCTGACCTGCGTGTCATGTAAATTTTCAATAATATCGGATGTTTGCTCGTCGATAGCTTCGCTGATCTCAATGGATACTAGGTAATACTTTTGTATCACTGCCTGAGGATTTTCAGACTTAGTTTCCGCCATCCAATCACCGTAGACTCGCAGAGCCTTAGCTTTCAGATTTGGTTTTGGATTCTTCTTCTCGATTAGGCTCCGTAATAGATGACGTGCTATCACCTGCTCACCATTCATCCACTTCAAGAGCGATTCTTGATAGAGCAGTTGATCCTTTAGATTCGTGGACAGATTTTGATGCAACTCGAGAGTTCTCAGCGCTCGGGTGGCTATCGAGAAATACCCTTGACTCTTTGCAATCTTTGCCAAGTCCAGGCAAGTATCAAAAAATGCTTTCTGCACGTCTGCATTCGTCCGTAGAGATTCACGGATGTGAAACATGATGATACGCTGCCTCAGGATCGGCTCGACGTGGTCAAATTGACCGATTAAGCTGATTTTATGTTCATTCCAGCGTCGCAAAATTTCCAAATACTTTTTGTCTGAAGAATCAGCTGCCAAGCTGAGTTGCTCGATCTCACGCAACAATCGCAATTGCGATAGCTTCTGATTGACGATCTTACTACTCTCAGAACTGATCATTCGCAGCTCGTGTATCACGCTCATACGGCCGCACTCGATCGCCCGATCTATGCCTCGCCGGTCGTTCTCGTGGAAACACTTCAGTGCGTGATAATGATGAACATGGAACGCGTTTTCCAGTGACTCCACTCGTAATTGCTGAGATTGGAAGTCGTTATAATTGGAGACGGTTTCATCGTTAACGGGTAGGTCCCATTTGCTTAGTCTCCAAGCGCACTCATAACTGGAGGAAGAAATTCGTTTATAAATTTTTATGCTCAAATTATCAAATTTTCACCTACAAATTCTTATATAACAATATAAACATAATTCACCTAAATTTCTCATCCAGGTTACCGCCCAGAAATTGCCACTGGAGAAAATGCAGTCCTGATCGGTGTAACGCGTTTGCCATCTCCATCCTGGTGTTTGCCAACAACGAGTAATCGTGATGGGACAACTCGATGTCCTGCGCGAGAATGACTTCATCCCAGCGATTGGTACGGGCATAGTATTGCACACGGGAATCATGATCAAGCACATGCGACGAGCCAACCCCGGATATAGCATCCGGATCGCTAATGTTTAAGTAGGTGTCCAGCATAATGTTTTGTAGCACTCGGCCAATTTCTGGCTGGCGTTCATAGATATAGTCAATCCTCGAGTCACTACTGAAGTCCGGATAGTCTGTCGAGATTGACCCGCAGGCAAGTTGTGCGAACAGCAGTGCTGTATAGTATGCGGAGCACTTGTGCGCCGCTCTGGCCAGGTAGACATAATCTAGTCTTAACGTCGTGCCATCCGGCAGCTGGGCGCGTATGTGATTCACCACGTCCAACATGCGGCGTACAATTTTCTGGTCGTAACTATCACTTCTCGACATCAACGATGTAGTGGTATCCGCCTCATTAATTGCAAAGTGTTGCCTAATTAATATGAATAGACATGAATTATGAATAATGTTTCAAGACATTAAATAGAATAAAATTTTGTAAAAAAATTCCCTGAGAATTTTCCGATTTATACTTTTGTTTAAAATTCCAAGTAAGATTAGAAATTATATAGAAGCACCTGAAATTTAGGTTGACCGTTACGGAATGTTCTCGTCGATATTCATTGGTTTAATATTAAAAAGTTTTTTAATACTTTGAAATAATAAAAACAATAAAAAAAATTTAATTTATGTAAATTTCCAAAATATCTTTGATTTCAATAAATTCTGTAAAAACCCTCGATTTTCAAAGATAAAAAGAAATATCTTGAAAATTTCTTTTCTAGGTTTTTCTAGGTAGTAAACAATTGGAATTACCTCTTAATTCTTCGTTTAAACATTTATGCTTAAATAAATTAATAGTACCTAAAAAATTGATTAACGCAATCACATATGGTATCGATAAATCTGTCGTTCTCATGGATGACGAGGTAAATAATTCTTGGTAAAATCAGTTCACAGAATTCGACGCTGAGTCGACAAACCGAGAGGAAGTTCTCCAAGTAGGAGTCTACGAAGCATTCGGCGATGCTGCAAGTAACTTTGATGATCCATTCGGCGTAATTCTCATTGTTTTGGACCGTCCACAGCTCGTTTTCTGGATTCATGACAACGCGAAATTTTGCAGTGTCCACACAGAAGACCGTCTGCTTGATACAACGGCCACGAGCAAACGGTCGAATATAATCGATCTTCAGAGATGCGCACTCGAGGATGTTGGACAGGTCTGTTGAGTATTTGAGGTCAAATAATTTCCGACCATTGGAGGTCGACAGCACCGCGTAAAGGGCTTCAGCGCATACCTTAAATACAGTTAATATCTATGTTATTTATTTTATATAAGATTTTAGTTTTTGCTTGGAATACTACATTACAATGAAAATTCAAGATAATACGAGGCTCAATTATTATATGTATAATAAAAACCTTGCGAAGTTCCACTGAATTCTCTACGAGAAAACTCGTCAACATCGCAACCGATCGATAAGTCAGAGCTTCTATCGCATAGTCCGCTTCCCGAACGAAACTTCCGGCCGGTTGCAAAGCCATTGTGGAGTCCATCGGACCTAGTTCGCCAAGGCATTTCGTGGCCTCCATTGACACGCGTGGGTTAGGCGATTCTGTTAGTCTGATGAGTCTGAGGAATAAATTTTAAAAATATACATATTATAATATATAATAAAATAAATAATATAGAAAATAAGGAACACCAAAGAAAAGAGATTAAATGATAATATTACTATATAAATTATATTATATACAATAATATTACATATACAATAATATTAACATATTAATATTAATTATATGTTATTTTAATTTATTGAGCCATACTATTTATATTGAATTTTAATTATATGTAATATTATTTGAATAAAATGTATTTTTTACCTGAATATTAATCGATGCAGGATGTTAATATCATCCTCAGGATACGGCCTCTGCAATTTTTGATGCAGTTCTCGCAGCTCACATTTTCTCATCGTCAACTGTTGCGTGAAATTCGCGAGATCTTCCAGCGTGCACTCGGCATTTTCCTCACTCATGGCGTTCAGAAAACGTTCCAGCTCGCTTTCAAGGCATAACGCAGATTCGTTATCCAATCTGATAGCGTTATGAGCTTCCCTTACATCTCGGAAGATCTCATAATTCGGAAATGAGCCGAGTTTTGCGATGGCTTCTCGTAATACGTTTCTTTGCTCCACAACGAGAAATCTAAGTAGACTCGCAGCTATCTCGCTGATGCTGCTCGTTCTTGATTGTGCCAAGCCGATTAGGTTTGCCACGATAAACCGGAGGACATCTTGTACTTCCATGGCTCTTGCGGGCAGCGCTTGTCTCAGAAACAGGTCCAGGAACTTGCAGCATGCCGCAACAAGCGTCTCGTCGCCATCACCGTCATTCCTCGTGAGATGCAACAAGCTGTAGCACACATCCCGGATCAGGAATGAAGCCATCTCATTGAAAACGGATTTCGAGAGATCGTGTGTTAGTCGCGAGCAGAAGTACATGTATTGATGCAGCCGCTTGAGCTTATCCTCGCGGGAGCGCGACAAGTGTACAGCGCTTACAAGCCGCAACAGTGTTTTTTGCAGCATCGCCGGTTGTTGTTCGACCAGCATGTGTGTGTTTAGGGAATGATACGATTCTAGATAATCAAAGCATAGATCCAGTATGGCTCGTGAGAAATGCGGCGGATCCGTTGCCGGGAAGCACGTAAATGAGATCGAGAGTATCTTCTTGAAGTCATCTTCATCATGTAACCGCCGTATTAGTTCTACAAGAACGTCTTGCAAGCGAGAACGGAATAGCTGATTGAAATTTTTCGTGTCTGCAAACTCGTCCGTATTATTTATCAATTTGCGCATTGTATCATTATCGAATACAATGGCGCGCGATATCAGCCATACGAAGCAGGACGGGAAAACATCCTCGAAGACTTTATTAAAGGCCACATCAGCACGATTCACACAAAAGGACGTGGTCTCGTCAATGTCCGAAGTGCGCAGTAGAACCGGGACAATCCAGTTGATATTTTTTCTAAAGAATTCGTCGATAGTCTCGCATCCTATTAATAATAATAAATTTGATTCAATTTATAAAGCTTATATTAAAGAGATTGAGTTATGTATATTATACGTTGTAAATATTACATGTTTTAATTTTATAAAACTGTGAGAATTGAAAAAATCTTTATTTATATCATTAGTGGATGTCAGATGTCACAAAAAATTTTGTTTTTAATAATATTAGTATTAAGTTGGTAAATAATTGAATATTTTATTTTAAAATCACTATTGTATTAAAATATTGCATTAAATTAACGAATACGTTTTTACCCGTAAGCATCCATGGAAAGTTCTGCAATTGATAATGCGCGTCCTCGATCCAAGAAGTTAGCAAATAATTCAAGTTATCTTCAATGAGCGACACGTACGTCGTCGTGTACTGCGCCGCCGCCAAAAGAACCTTCCGCACCATCTGCACGTTCACTTGTTTTTCTGTCGTTAGTCGCAACATCGTACAAAGGGCGCGACCCTGAAGAACTCCACTGGCGCATGCCACGGAGGCCAGCGCGATCAACGCAGTGACTGTCCTGGTCTCCTTTTCATCTTGCAGTTGACTTTCTTTCAAACTGTTGCTATTCCACAAAAATAAAAAATAAAATTAAAAGTGCTACTCACAAGAAAGTCTATAAGCTTTTCTAGAATTTTCCTCAGACTTTCTTAATATTTCTAAGAGTAACAACTCGTATAAAAATTTTAAGGCAAATTTTACAGCAAGATACTATAAAAAAATAAATATGACAAGTTTCTCTTTATAAAAACAGTTTATAATATTACTATCTAATTTTAATACTGGTGTGTTTATCCAAATATTTCTATCTCTCTAGACTCTATTATAATGTTCATACTTCTGCAAGTTGGAACTCGACTGCTCAGCTTCATTGAGCAGCATGAATACTGTTTCCTCCACCTTGACGAAGATGTGTTCCTTCCATTTATGAGCGATATTTCTGAAGGATAGAATCTCTTGCAGACATTGCATTGCTTGCGACCGGAGCACAAACAGTGTATCACCAATGTAATTAAGGATGCTATCAAGTATCGTTAAAACGTCGTCATCATCATTGGAAATGTGAACGTTATTCCACGAAAAGTTCGGATCGATCCGTACAAAACTGCATGCGCATTTCATGTAGCTCGTATGTATGAGAACGCTACAATTTCGATCATAAATGCGCTTGTGAAGATACTCGAGCGCCTGAACGATTGTTTTGGGAAAATAACCATGTTTAATCGCGTATTCAAAGAAGTATGGTAGCAGATTTAATAGCCGTTGCAACGATTCCTCATCCTTGCAACCTTTCTGGCATATTTCCAACAGAAATACCAACGGCGTATCCACGCACTCGCGCTGTATCTCGTCATGATCACGTGTAACGAGCGATTCAAGGATCAGCAGTGACATTCTAGAATCCACGTAGCTTGTAAAATCCTGCTGCATAGTCAGCAAATTATGCATCATCTTTTTCTGCAATGTGGACTTGCTGTGGTTTGCGTCGATGTGTAAAGCGCAGAAAGATGATAAGGCCTCTACCATCTGTAGACGAATCACACCTTCGCGTGGATAGTTTGGCTTTGAATCTGATGTCTCCAGATACATAGTAGCGTTCCGCTTGCGTCTTCCCTGAAATTATGATATGTTCATTTTCAAAAAAATCATTTATTAAAAAAGTCATTTATTAAAAACAATTTCTTCGTTACATAAGAATAAGTTTTTCTCAATTTTCCTTGTCTACCTGATAAGTGTTAGGCTCCTCATTATAATCGTATTTATAATAATTGTCATCTAGATTCAAAAGATCGAATATATTTTTTATCATGTCCATTGTAGATGCAGAGACAATTATTTTAGCAATTTCCGTATCATAGGTTGCTCCATAAAGCATCCTCAATGCTCCGGTTACGCTCAGCAAGAATATGTTTTTGCACCTGTAAGGAAACACTTAATGTAACAAAAATATTTAGCACATTTGTACAAATTCCAAAGTAATAGTTAAAAAAAACAATAAAGGCTTAAATGCAGTTCTGTTAAGTACAGTATAACATATAATAATTACAAAACTTGGAAGTACAAAAGCATTGAATAATTTTTTAATAGTATCTAGAAAAAGAAAAAATAAACAACTTCTTTCGCTCTATTAAAACATGTACCTAGTCCAGTCAATTTTCGTTAGAACTGCGTAGCTGTCATTCAATTGTTTTTCCATTGCATCGATTAATGGACAGTAGCCAGCGATATCCTTCGTCGTAAAAATATTCTGTTGCTTCAAAATAGACAATAATCTTGCCAGAAACATGAGCTTCATTAGTACAACATAAACTTCACATGTATCTTTATTTTCGTCGTTGCAGTCTTCTTCTTGAATAATATTGTGCATTTGCTTTATCAAAAAGTTAAATACTTCCTGTACATAGGAGACGGGATTTTCAGTGTTGGACATTACCCCGGAATTTCGTTCAACAAATTTACTCTTTGAATACATCGACAACGCTATCTTGAACGTCAAAGATGCATGACAGAGTTGCAGAAGCTCTGTTGAATGGATATCTCGATGAGGTACGAAAGTGATCACGCGCACTTTTTCGTGGTTTTGCAAGGATTTCTGCTCAGTCTTAGTATTTTGTCTGTAACGAGATTTCAGAACGAGGTTTACGGACAACGCACAAATATCCTCGATAGTCTCGACGGACAGTCGCGTCGCCAACTTTTGCCATGTATGATGTGGAATGTTCAATAGCCATTCTAGAAGACGCGTTCTATCACAGATTGGCGTCATCATTGAGGGCGACGAATCTAGCACTGATGTGGTCGCGTCCACCAGTAGAGAGACACGCTCACATAAGTGTCGCAGTGTATGTACGCTGTTCGGTGACCAACGAATCGCCTTGGTCAGATACAATCTGAGGAGAGCGTTTGCATTTGGCAGTCTATTGTATCTTACGAAACAGCGGATTAATGAATGACCCGATTCCTCGTTCTGGTTCGCTCCTAGAGATCTGCAAAGATTTAGTCTTGTTGCAATTATAAAATACAACAATTAATATAAACATTGGAATTAATGTTACGTACCTAAAAAATATTTATAAACAATAGACAATTTTTTTAAGTTGTAGTAAAAAATAAAAACTAATTTTTTTTAATAGGTAAATTACCAAATTTTTTTTTCTAAAATAATTTATATAAATTAATAATAAAATTTAAATTAGTATGTACCTAAGAAGCATATCCCAAATCTTGTTCCAGTGAATTGTCGCGTCTTGTATTTCTTCTCCATTGGATATCTCAATTTTCATGAGGACAGCAGCTAGATTGTACAAACTGTCCATGATAGACTCATCTCGAGACACAGCGAGTTCCGTTAAATGTTGCAGCAGGGGCGCGAGATCTTGCGACCTCAGACACTGTGGATACTTTCTTAACATTTCGATAAGAATTCTTAACAACGACCATACTTCCTCAGGGCTGCTGTTCGTTACCAAGTCGACGATGTTTTCAATTCTGTTCATTATTCGTCTGCGTTTGGTTGATTGAGAATAAGAGCCATCGAGACAGCCAATGAAATTTACTGAGTTATCCATTATCTGTTTTATGACTGAAAAAAAATTGATAACTTATTCTTTTATAACTAAATTATTATAAAATTAGTTATACAACTAAATCAAATCTTTCATAAATACTTAACAAAAGATATTAAGATGGTAATATAATTGTTAACAATTAATAATCCCAAGAATATATGTACTTAGAGAATGATTAATTCCGAATTTATATTTAAATTATATTCTTTGCAATAAATTCAACATAACGGCGTTTAGAGTCAAAGAATTTTTTAATTTATAGAATAAAATTGCTGTTAAGAAGAATCTATCTATGCAATTAATGAAATAATCAATACAGATGGATAATACATCGATATTTTTTATTATTTCAAGCAAATGTTAAATATATTTGTGTTGAAAAATGGCACCTTCACTAGCAAACTGAATAAAACTGCGCCACTGCACGTCCAATTTGCAATTCTCCTGGACAAGCAAATACATGTTACGCAGCAAATTTCTCCATTTATCCCAATCAAATGCAAAAGCGCCATCGTCATGCTTTGAGATACCCTCTGGATGGTGAATCTGTACGAAGATCAATAGCAGCCTATATTTTTCTTCAGAGCCGTTCAAACTTAAGATATTCATCGATGTGCTTTCACTAAACTTGCAGAGCGCAATTCTGGATTCTGTGATGATTTGTCTGCATACACTGCTACTCAGTTTGTAGAAAGATTCTGTTAACTGCTCGTTGTTTGCTTTCACATCTTTTAAAACCTCATTTTCTAAAACAAAATAAATTTACTTTAAATCAGTTTTTAGTAATATATGATACAGTTCTGTAATTTGTTAATACATATAAAAATAAAATTTAAAAAGTATTTTATAAAAATATATAATAGTTAATTCAGAATAATTTAGAAAAATCAAGTTTTAACGTACCCAAAAATAATAACAAATCTTTCACGTAAAAAAATAAATTCGTATGTAAGAAAGAATAATTGACAATCATCTGCAACGCATCTAATACAATATGGCTTTGAAGATGTGTCTTTTTATACAGCTTGGTGCAAATTTTCAATAGTTCCTCCCATTGCTCTGGCATAATATTCCTATGATTTGTACTTCTTGGCAATACATATTTCACTAATATCCCCAAATATGTATCCTGATAATGCACATAGATCTTAGAGTCTAATATTTGTAATATTCGAGAGACTATATCACTGCTTTTCAAATATTCAGCTGACTTCTCACTGGCTCGACGAATTGTGTCCGTCATCAATTCACAAAGAGATTGCCTTTCACTGCTCTTAGCAATTGTTTCTTTACTAGGTTTCTCTGCTTCCTAAATTATTATTCAAACAAAACATTATTAAAAATAAATGAAATTATAAATAAATAACATGTGAAATATTAAAAGAATTATTTTCTATATAGATTTCAGTATGATTCTTCTTACATCAGTAATTAGCTTGTGGACTATGGATATAATACAGTGCCAGTTGACCTTTCCTGAAACTTTGCTCTCAGTATTCTGGCATATCTCTATGAGAACATCGTCATTTTGATATAAATCTTTTAGCTCAGATACAAATTTCTGAAAGTTAACAGCCCTTTGTCACATAAGAATGGAAATAAAAAAATTATACATTAATATATTTGATATATACATCTTTTAGAACTAATAGATGTTTTGAGACTAGTCATTTGTTTTCTATAGCTGAACAAGCGTTTTTGAAACTTAAAGTGAGACAGATATTTATTTGATGTTTAACAAATGCGAGAGCTGTAATACAGTCTAGTGTAAGAATAAAAAAAACAGACGTTACAATCTTTTATCAATGTATCTTTGTAAATAAAGACAATTGACTTGAAACACTCTGTACATATGATCCAAATCAAGTATGTTATCTTTTATAGAACTACTTTGTAGATTAATCTGCGAATAATACTATTTCTACATATTTTATACCGATCACAAATCAAAGATTAAATGACTTTAAATATGATTTCCCGGTTAAACACAGGACGAATCAGATTCCTGACATAAATAATGATTAATATCAGTGATAATGGTTACCTTTCTGTCAGCCACTTTCGAACTATCGGCTAGCTTCAGAATGCCGGAAATTCTATCCGATATTCGTGACATACTCGCAATTCCACCGGTACTCTGATAAGCGTTGATGCATTAGCTGTAAAAAGAATTTGAAAAAAATCACATCAGAGTCTGATAAATGTTTGCGAAACATTGAACTACAACAATAATGACGGCGATGTTTAATCCTCCCGCGAAATATAGCAAAGTATACCATATGCCTGCCGCTTAGTACTCCATACTTCACCATACATTGTATTGTATGTAGATAGGTGAATGCTTTTGACCATAGAGAGAAACGTCTTAAATCTCATTGTAAACTACACTGCTTTAGGTCCGTGATCTCAACTTTAAATACAAACACTGCCTTTTTCAGCTTTTCACTATTGAACGCAGCTATAAATGCTCGTCTGTGTACATGTAAACTGCCAGTCATTCTTTAGTTGAGGAATTTCGATATCTCGATTGATTTTGTCGTGTAGTGGATCGTAGTGGGTAGGTGAATCAAGTGTGGTGAATTTAATGTAATTAAATTACGATTAATCGAAATAATGGGAGCGGTACGAATAATTAACGATGATCGTCATTTCAACGGCGAGTTGGCAAATGCCGGCCAAAAACTCGTTGTCGTTGATTTCACAGCGAGTTGGTAAGCATTTTTTAGGTTATACTCCCTTTAATGTCTGTTAATTCGACTGTATTATGCGTTTTGAAATTTTTGACACGTATCTACACATGTTCTTAATTATTACGCACTTCATCTGTGCATTTCTTTGAATCAAAACAATCAATAATCCAATTTCGAAAGGTTCGTCAAAATTAGAATGCGAATTGTTGAAAGTAAAAATTTAATCTTCTGTGAGAAATTTGTCGGTTGAAGTGAGAAATTTAATGAGAATTTTATCGGTTTCAAAAAATGCGATAATAGGAGTCCCTTTGTTCTTAACAAAAAATATAATCGCGAAATTGTAATATAAATTGTTTACCTATGTTTTTGTTTCTTTTTCGCTAAATATATAAACTCTCTTCTATTTTTTTGTCATATATGATTGACTACCTTATCTTTTCTAAAAATAAATAAACTTTTATTATATAAATGTCTTATACTATTTGAATTTTAATTATAGTTTGAAAAGAATCAGTTTTTTTTACTGTTCATAACTTTTGATGAAATTATAATTTTTTGAAACCAGATGACCAATTTATAGTCTATTTCTAAAGAGTTTAAAATAAAAATTATAAAAATCGAAGCATCTTGCTTACGAAGGAAAAGATATTAGACATATCAAAAAGTATGATTTGTTAGAAGTTTACATTCTTTGCAATTATTATTTTTCCTTTTTTTTTATTTACTTCGAAATTAGTGAAGATACTCTAGAACATGTGTGAAACATAATTTTTACTAATTTTGATTCTAGAGACTTGTATTAATACTTACATAATAATTTCATACTTTTTATAAGGTTTTCCAAAAAAAGCACTTGATCTTTTTATCTTTATTTAACAGGGCAAAAACAATAAGGATTTACTATGTTATACTAGATAGTATGTTTATACTATAAGATTAAAATTCAGTATTAAAAGTATTACTTAGGCTGAAATATAGTCAACAATTTTTTTCACTCATTTTTATTCTGTATTTCAATATATTCAATAATTTCACCAATTTCAGTGATTTGTGTCTACCAGGGCCGTTTCAATAAATAATTAATCCATTATTTTAACTTTGAGAAACCCTCCATAAAATGTCGCAGTACAATCTAATGACAGTTAAATAAAGGTACCCCAAATCTGGCATTTTTTTAATGGTGAGAATGTTGTCGACAAAAATTTATGACAAAGTGGCAACTTTTGGCAAACTTAGCAAATTAGCAGAAAATGAACTTCTAAGAATAAGAATCATGGTTCACAATAATTAATGCGTCTTGCCTGGTTTTGAATTATACAGGTGCGGGCCTTGTCAGAGAATTGCCCCGATATTCGAGCAACTGTCCCTTAAATATCCCAAGGCGGTGTTCTTGAAGGTGGACGTGGACAAATGCGCGGATACTGCTTCAATGCAGGATGTCAGCGCGATGCCCACCTTTATCTTCTACCGCAGGCGTACGAGATTGGGCCACTGCCAAGGCGCGGATCCAGTGGGATTGGAATCCAAGATCCAGCAGTTCTATGGTAGTGGTGATGCTGACGACGCAGACGACTCAGTCGCAGATTCTGTACCCGGCCATGTACGAAACACCGAAAATCCCTACTACCATATCTTTGGAATGATTTTACTTGTCGTGGTTCTGTTTTACTGGAATAAGTACCAATGAAAAGTTTGCCACTGGTTGCTGTTTAATATTAACCGAATCGCGACAAACTGAATTTTTCACTAAAATTCGATTACTTCAGTTTAACTCAAATATGGCATTACGTAGTGTTTCATAATTATTAAATTTTTTTCGATAAATTATATGTGTAAACGAAATTTTAATATTTACACTTTCAAAACTTTGTTAAGCAGTAAAAAGAGAAAATTTTAACTTACAATTTTTATTTAGTCTATGTTAAAAATTTTCTGACTTTGACATTATAGCAACAATTATTTCAGTTTATTATCTATTTTGTATGAAGCAATCGCCTGAAGTTCATTGTAAAATTTCTTCTTAGTCATCATCCTCTTTTATTTTAATGCCATGTGCATAGAATAGGGACATGGCATTATGTATTTTGTCTTCCAAAAGTTTTCTTCATTTTGATCATATAGCAAAGTAACAGAAAACATCACTTTGAGCATTTAATTTGATTCACAAAACCAATACAATTATAATATAAGATTTCATGATATAGATATTCAATTTTATTGAATGATCTATTTAGCATAAAAACAAATTTTTTTAAGACAGAAAATATATATATCTAAAAAAATTTGAGTTCATATTTACATCAAATGTATGCATTATTTTGTATAGAAAAAATTTTCGTTATCTCTAGTTTTAACAAAAGAAAATTAAAATAAAATAAAAAATATTTATGACAAGTAATGGAAATTATTAATAAATTTTATTAATTTAGTAACGTTTCCTTATAGTTGAATAAAGAGACCGTTGAATGAGCATTAAAGTTTTGCTTATGCAAATATCAAAGTATCACCTTTGTGTAAAAAAAAATGTTCATACAGAAAACATTTCAAATATGTTAATAAAAATCAACAGATCTTGGTATGATTTTTGTATTGGTTTTAGTATTCACGCGCATAAAACTTATATAAAAATGTTATGTAACTTAACAAATTTTTCTTGTTTAATAATTTTTTTCTTTTAATTGTAAAATATTATCTTTTTAATTATAAATTATTATCAATGTATATTTGAAAAAATATTTATATATATTGTATTGGAAATAATACAACTTTGATACTTGCATGCGTGTTGATGATTTAATGACCTTTATCTTTATAATCTTATCTAACACAATAATTACAAATAAATCTCTTTATTTAATACATGAACAAATGAAGAAAAATTGATAAGCTACAGATAAACATTAATTATCGTATTCTGCAACGTCTAAATACTAATTTACTAAGATTTGTATTTTGTATTGAAAAATTAATTATATTAAAAGTGAGATACTTGAACGAAAAATATTTTTGAGAGAAAATCCTTATAGTTAAGAAATAATGTTACATGTGTTCATATACACACATGCACACATATAAAATATACGCCCCAGTTTATATTTACATTAAATTAGACAAGCAAATTACTTGATAATTTTTGTTATTAAAAAATAATTTTAAATAAACTCAAAAAGAAAAATATAAGATTATGATTTAAATATTAAAATTAAATTAGATAAGCTAGATATTTAAATAAATTTAGATATTTTTTTATACCAGTATAAAAAATGTAAATAAAATCGACTGAGAAAAAAAAAATTTTTTTAAATTGTAGTTTCAACATTAACATGAAAAAAGAGATACAGTTTTCAATGTATACTATATATATATATATATATATATAACTATTAATGAGAAACTCATTTATAAGATCTTACAAAATTTATTTAGAGTATTTAAAAATTTCTGAAATTATTTAATTTTAGAATAGGTTTTGTTCTTTCTTCTTTTTTCACTCATAGTATCTCGTAAAAATTGTTTTTACACATCGTAATGTCATGTAGCTTAAACAATAAAAATAAAATTAATTATTCCAAATCGTACTTCATTTATAATTTACTTTGTCTCTTCTATTTTGTCGATAATTAATCGAAGAACTTTCGGGTTTTTTTTTTTTTCAGATGGACCTGTCCAGTTTTGTAATGAAACAGCAATGCGAGTGTTTAAACGAATCGGACTATCACACTTTCTCTCAGTGTTTGAACTCGGACAGTGGGTATCTTCAGAGCGATGAGGACGAGCAGTTGATAATGTCCATCGCGTTCTCGCAGCCTGTTAAAGTTCATTCACTTAAAATCAAAGCACCCACGGAAAATGGGCCAAAAAATATTAAATTATTTATCAACCAGCCTAGAACGATTGATTTTGAAATGGCAAGCTCCAATACGAGCATTCAAGATCTAACGTAAGCCTCACAAATAAATAAGATATATTTAAATCAATATAGAATATAAAGAAAGAATTAAAGAAATATCTTAGAAATATTTTCAAAAACTATTGAATATCTTTCTATATATAATCGTAAATTGACCAATTTAAGATAATTATCAAAATCTTTCATGTAGATTAGTACACACGAAAAAAAAGGAGTAGTAACTTATAAGATGACAAGTTTTACCTGTAGAATTAATGTATATAATTGAATAAACTATTTTATAGCTATTGCAATGATAAAATAGTTTTATATATAATTATGTATTAATTGTACATATAAAACCTTTATAATTGCTACTCTACTATGTTCTTCTCTGAGGGCAATTAAAATTTTTTAATTTTTTAGTACATTGTTTCTCTGTTGTAATATTAGAACAGAATTTCTATCCAACTTACTTTACTCTGTAAATAAAATAATGATAACTTTTAAATAAAATAATTAATTAATATGTTCGATTTCGGTGCAGATTGTCAGCTAAGGATCTCGAAGAGGGAAATCCGATACCGCTGCGCTATGTTAAATTCCAAAACGTGCAAAATCTTCAAATCTTTGTGATAGACAATCAGAATGGCTCAGAAATAACGAGAATCGATCATCTTGTTATAATCGGTTCACCAATCTCAACTACAAACATGGGAGAGTTCAAGAGAGTATCTGGCAAGGAGGGTGAAAGCCATTGACTTTTCTGTAACAATATATCGGGATATTATGTTAGGAATTTCGATTTGCTTATTAACATTCCCCATTGTTTTTTTTTTGCATAGAAGGAAAAAGGAAAAAAAAAACAGCTGTAACAAAATTTAAAACAATAAAATCCGATTTAAATACTGTATAATTTTTCTTGTAATAATTTATTATCGATTCACGAAGGTAATAATTTATTTTAAGTAAAACCTATTATCAATTTATGAAAACATTTACAGCTATGTTTAATGTACAAAGGACGAGTATTCCGCAAGATACAATTAATTTCACTTTAAGAGGCTCGTCTGCAATTACACTTACATTCTATTTTTCTTAATGAAGTAATATGCGTTGTTTGATTAATTAATTTTACACTGTTTCCGCATTTTTCTCCATTTTTAATTTTGATAATTTAATTTTGAATTGGAAAAAATGCAGATTTTTCTAACTGATGACAAAATAATCATTGCAAGGGAGACTTTGAGTGATTTCACAAAAATAATCAAATAAAATATCTTTACATTATAAATGTCTGATTCAACTTGGTAAATAGATCACTTGAATACACATAGTATTTAGCTATTAATTAACCTATATTTGTGTATGTCTCCCAACAGTTTATCTTCTTTCATATAGATTTCCGCGTGATCTCTAAAGGATTACAGTATCTCGGTTTGTAACAAACTTTCAAAATAAACTTTTTACAAAAAATGCTAAGTGCCGTTTATTGAGAGGCTTTATGAATTCGCCAAATACCTCCGCATCGGCAAGCACGCGTCCATCGTTGATCCCAAGCTCTGATCGCAGCTGTCCTTGTCATGTTCTGCACTTGCGCCTTACCACCGCATCTAAAGATATAACGAAAAGAAAGAATATATATAAATAATATTAAGATTAGAGAAACAGGACTATTTATTTGAATAAATCAACTAAATACGAAGAAAGGCCAATTACGGTTAAAATAGATGTTCGACGTATATGTATATACATATAAAATATTAGGGAAATTATTAATATTTTAGATTCATTGTGTTGAAAAATCGAAAGTAATTGATGCTTCTTCATATTCAGTTAATATATATAATATTATCGATATATTATTATGGATTATCACTATATATAATATCTTTATATTTTTTGTTAATTGATAATTGATATAGTCTATGAATTAATAATACCTTGTGCATTGCTTCACCAAAAGCGGCTGTTTTCCTAAATACAAATGTCGTATTGTGTCCACGATCTGACCGCTATGCATACAACCTTCGACGGGATTCATTTCAGGCGTAAAAACCAACTGTTCGGGTTCCACTCCGTATTCCAGCTGCAATCACAAAATAATAATAGTGAATAAATATACATGCATGTATATAAATTAACAAAAAGTTTTGAATATTTTTAATAGGAAGAATTCTAACAGTATTCTCTTCTTTTTGTATGAATAAGTAGTTCTTACCTGCAATGGGAGATTCTGATAAAACAAAATCGGGGAAATTATAGCAGTGATGCTGTTGCCTTGATGCAATTGTGGAATCATAATCTGATTTGGCAGCAGGCAGCATTCATCTGAAAATGAAGCCTTACTTCAGAATTTTCAATATCGAAAATATAAGAAGTACTGTCGATTCCAAATTGATAATACGTGCATCTTATGTGTCTGACAAGGTGCATAAATAATTATACGTGATAATAATCGTAAAGTTTTATAGAAGAAAATGAGGTAGAAAGAATTAATGTTATCCAACACTTTATTGTCTTTATTTCTAGTCTTTTATTTATACACAGAAGCTCTTCCTTGAACAAACTTCAACTCTTTTCTTCGTTTAGATCATATATTTCTCGAACTCTTTAATTAATTGTTATAAGTAATTGTCTATGGCAATTTAATTAACTGATGAAGTAAAGGCTTCTTGCAAATGTGCTTCATTAGTTTGCAATATTATCACTGGTTTCTCCACAATGAATTCACTCGCTTCATCCACGTTTGGATCGATCTGAAGAAAGATCTCTGTTTTTTCACTTGTTGGACTCTCCACGTCAGCTATGAAATAACTTGATTCGTGCTTTGACCTCAATTTATTATCCTTTTCGTTCTTTGCATTCTCATTCTCCATATCTTTTATATCCTTTCTGTGCTCCACGTCTTTCATATCCTTTTCATTCGTTATATTTTTTACGATTTCCGTACCATCGTTTTCTGCAGTTATCTCACTCGGAAAGAAATGCGTCCTAGTTTTCAGCGATTTTTCGACCCTCTCCGCTTCGCGGATTAGATCGATGAAGAACAAATCTCTTGGCGACATAGGCGTTTTTGGGGATTTTACCTCGTCCGAGGGCGATACCGTTACCAGCTTCAGATAATCCTGCAGGGGACTCTTCTGAGCGTAATCACTAGCAATGCTTAAACGAGTTTTCTCATTTTCCTCGACACATACAACTCCGACAGTATCTTCGATGTTTTCACCCGATATTTGTTTGTGTATCACCAAAGGCGCCAGATCCCTCTTGAGGTTTTCTCGATCACTCTTGGATTCCAAATCGTGAGAGTCATTCCGCTTTTCTGTCTCTAAAAATTCTGAATCTTCAGATGATATCTGGTGAACGCTCAGAGGTCTTCTCACTTTATCCGAACCATATTTCGAGATTGCATTAATTTCAAGGCTTTGTTCAACTTGGAAACGTCTCCAGAAAATTATTAATCCATATATGATCACGATCCAGATCAGGAACGCGACTGTCCAGAAAAGAAAAGACCAATACGAAGGCCAATATGCGAATTTGTAACATATGGCCCAAATTAGAGGACAGAGGACGAACCAGTAGATCACGAATACACTCAAGGTTGACCAAGGAAGCAATAGATGCTTATATCTCTTCAATCTGGACTGTTGGGTTGTGCAATTCTTTTCATGTAGCCTGTTTTCCTTCAAGATAAGGGAGTCTTTATGCTTGATCGCAAGTTTATTAATCATTATATCTTCATAAATTCGATGGATTTTACTTTTTTTTTTGTGCGTACGTTGTATTTCTTTTTAGAATGTATTATATTCTAAATATTATTATAATACTTGTATTGAGAGAAATGTAATAATTGGATTGTCACACACAAGATGTATTATTTGCAATTCTTCTGATCCATGCACTTGCTATTGTTATTGCGCAATTCTATATAAAACTGTTACACATAATGCAACCATTTAATACTGCTAATACGATATATTAAAATTATTCAGGATGTGGTATTTTTATCAAACTTCCTGACCACAATTATAGTAATCAAGTAGCAAATATATGATAAGAATTAAATTTGCAGTCAAATCTATCTACTTTTAGACTGTGAAACTTATAAATTAATATCGTTTCTTAAACATAGAATTTTTTTAATAAAAACAAATATAAAAAATATTAAAGTAAAACAAATTTTTTTATTAACATGGTTGTCTAATTATCACAAAAAAAATATACCAATCTTATATTTTTTCATTAATCTTCATAGAATTAATTTATTAAAGTTTTATGCAATAAATAAAAATCATATTATACTAAATGTCAATTAACTCTTATATTCGATGTTAAGAAATTTCAAAAAGTTAATAAACGTACCAATCAAACCGTCGTCCACCTGTTGCTGTGTATCTCCATTAGGTTGTACCAATTTTGATAATAAGCAAAATAATAAGGCTAAAACGTCCAGATTGTCCGCGCTGCGAAGAAACACTGGGAGACACGACGGACGGAGTAATCCCCAGATGCGTATGATGACCAACAGCTCCCGAACAGTATTCAAGGCCTTGTGATCCTTAAGAAGCTCATACTGCAAAGCAAAATAATAAACTAAAGCTAATATGATAATTTATATATAAAGGTAATTTTAATTAATTTTAATAGAAGACTGTAGTTATGTTTATGTTATGTGAAAGCCAATATAAATTCAATAACAAACATTTGATGTCATCGAATATTTATTTACAAAAATATATCAAAAGAAATAGATGTTAAAATAGATTTAAGGATTTCTTTTAATTTTTGGAATCAATAATTACATTCGCTAAAAGTACTTACCCCGCCAGTCTTCACCTGCATCCTTTGTTCAGGTAATCTGGCCAGTAAATTTAAAGCTAAGTCAGCGACCCATTGAATAAGTTGCTGCAGCGATTGCAACGTGCTTGGTTCTACCGTAAACTCTTTCGGATCAAGATGTAGCAACACCTAAAATAAAACATTAAATAAATAAGTTATTTCAATTCACAAATTAACAAATGTAAATTAATAATTTAAAGACTCCTTTAATTAATAATTAACAAATATATTAATATAAAAAAATATAAAAAAAGCGATAGGAGTCGGCGCCGGATTGAATATTGCGCTAGAATTAGTCAATGTGAATACTTTCTATGTGTACGTTTCGGCTCTTGTTTTGAACCATTTTCAACTGTTAGATCTTACAGTTATTGCTATTATAATATATGAATTTTTGGAGTATGTGGCAATTCACAATTCCAAAATCACAAACGTGCAATCGTAGTTGAAATGTGATGAGAACCATCCTCAAACATTCTCGAATGTTATGCCAACCAGTTGCAAAGCTAAGTGGAGTAGATAGTATTTCAAGCTCACATCAAATGCAATTACACGCAGATCCAGAAGATCGTCAATCCAATTGATAAATAAATAATTAAATAATCATCCAAGTTAAAATAAATTAAAAATTGTAGTTAAGAATAAAAATAGAGTAATGTTTCTTCTGAGTTTAGTCAAATAAAGTTCCTTCTAAATTCAGTCAAATAAGTAATTTCATTTCAGTTAATCATTAAAATTTTAATTTGTTAAAACATAATTATGTATTCGACTGTAACTTTTATGTCATATTTAAGTTTTACTAATCATTTTTATTCAATAGCAAATCATTAAATAAAAAAAAATTAGAAGAGTAGGATAAGAAATTTGATTTACGGAAATTCAGCTGGTCGAGAATTAAGATAATTGAAGTAAAACTTTGATTTCAATACCTTGTCAACGTCAGTAATGACATCAGTTATTACGGTGGCTAAACTTTCCGCTGGTCCTTTATCGTGAGATATCAGGTCCGATGGTCTCAGTAAAGATTTGAAGGCAGTAGCTACCGAATGTATCATCAATAACGATGACAAATCCGCCGCCTTGTTCTGTCCTGTTATGAGCATTCTAAAAATAATTGAGATAATCTTTTTCATATCATTAATTCTTAAAGAGACCTTTAAAGGCACTTCTTAAGTCTAACTTTAAAATATTCTTTTATTTTTTAAATTAGTTTAAAAACTAATATATTTAGAAGAGAAAAGAAACATTTTTTTACATATGTAAGTATCTAGTTACATACCTATATAATGACGTCTTGATGGATAAAAATTGAATATAATGATATTGCTGTGTAGATTGTAATTGTCTGTTAAAGGAAACGTCTAACCGCTCACACAATGCTTCAATCATGGACGATCTCAAACATAAAAGTATGTCTAACCAATCCAATCCCGTCACCAAGCAATACTCCAGTAATGTACAGGCATAGCTTAACGACATCGACGTACCTACAAAATTACATAAATTGTTAATCATATTTCACAATTTCTCAGAAATACTTTACAACTAAGAGAATGGATACTAATGAATTAATTTCAAATAAAGAAAATTTGATTGGATATATATATATACCTGTAGTACCATCCGGCAACAATTTATAGAGATACATATTGCCCTGAGTGTCACACGCAAGAAGTACGCATCCCAGCCATGAAAGATCCATATGAGCAATAGATACAGAGTTCTTAAAGTATTTGTTACTAGGCTCATCTGGACGCCAGCTTGTATTCAGGGATGAAAATGCCACTTCCTTCAAACAGTCCAAACGATTTAGGCAATGCACCGACGAGTCGGCTAATGCTATTATCACATAACTGGGAGGTGGTAAAGTTGTTACTATGGATAGTTTTGTGGTGGCTATCGCTGTGACTGGTGATTGACAACGATACTGCGACTGATATTGCCAAACCTGTATAAGTCAAGAATAAAATAATCATAAATCTATATTAAAAATAAATATAATATTACTTTAAAATATATAAATAGTATTTAATGGTACTATAAATATATTATTTATGTTTACTTCTATCAATGTGTATGAACTTCAATTTCAATTTAACTTACTTTTCATGTTCTTCTAGTTCTAAAAATTAAAAAAAAATAAAAAGTAAATTAAATAGAGATTAAATTTAATATACATTGCTAAAAATAAATTTTATATTACTCATATTACTTATATTATATTAAATACTATTTGATCGTTATTTAAATACTATAATTAGATGTGTTTTATTTCTTTATATTTGCCACTTAAAAATATGTATAAACCTCTTATACGTCAAAATTTGCTTGTGAAGATATTGATTAACTAATTTAATACTTACAACCGTCTTGAAAGGTTCTAAAGTCTTTGGCTGAAACAATTTATGAACCGGTTGCGACTTCTCCCGTAACTCCCACACTTCAACAAATCCGCCACTCTCGTTATTTGCAGCAATGACCAGAGAATCGGCATCTTCTCTGACCACAAACTTTAAATGAGTTACGACTGTACCTGTAAAGAGTATAAAAGATCTATTTCTGTTAGCTAAACTTCTCGCCAGAATTCATCATTTCTTTTCATGGATAGCAATAAAAAGGTTGCTGTGTGACCTATGTGTGCTCTATGTGAGAGCGATGAACCAATAATCAACATAAGGGTATCAATCATGTAACTTTTTATCTAGAACGGAAACGTGAAAAGTGAAAATTTCTATGAATGTATGTATGAACATAAACACACATACATGCAAAAAAATTTCACTTTTCACGTTTCCGCCCTAGAGAAAGAGTTACATGATCGATACCAAGGTCGCGAGTTCGAATTCCGCGCATTTCATATTCACGAAAAATTTCGTAATTTATACTCACTTCTAGCGGTAAAACAAAAACTAAACTCGCCAACACGCAATGGCAAACGTGACATTTCAATGCCAAATCAACATGAAATTGTCGAAATTTAAAACAAAAACTATCTCAGGCGGAACGCTCAGAATTTCGCATTGATACGTCAGTTTGCTTCAAGGATTCTGGGATAGGCAAAGTTTCGAGATACACTCCAACAAGAAAAAAGCTGAACGAACAAGAACTAATAGCAAGCTATAATATTCGCACAATAAGGCGGGAAGAATACCTAAGAGTCTGAAAAACGAACTCAGAAATATTGAAAGAAATGGAAGAGGTCTATGTCCAGGAGTGGATAAAAATAAACTAAAGAAGAAAAAAAGAGAACTGTGCAAGCAGTTCAACTAAAAAATGAATTGTCTATAAAAAAATTAACTGTTTATAATATCATAAGCTATTCAGCCATTAATTTTACATGAATTGTCCTTAGGTGCCCCATCTTGCAGGAAGAAACTAGGTAAAGCTTGTGAGGTGATGGTACACTTGTCGTCATTTTTGCGCACCAGAACTCTAAAGCATCTTATGGGCAAACAGATGCTACCGCTACTAACTGCAACGAGAAAGTGACCATCTGGAATTCAAAAAGCAAATTATTGCAACATCCTCATTGAATATCTGCCTTTGCAAATCACTTTATGACATGAGAAAAAGTACTTTTTCCATAGCACAAGTCAACCGCAGTTATCCTGTGTCTCGTGTTGCCTAGACTCTCCGTTGAATAGCAAATCGGATTTTGAAGATCTTTTGTGATCATAATTGCGCCAACCATGCCTGTTGTTGATACCACCAATACACCTTCAGCGGCTCTTCCACCAAATTGCCTCACAGAAGGTGCAAACAGAAGATGATTAAATTTCTCACTATAATGAATGCTATCTTTCTTTTCTGTTACTAGGCCTGTCTATAGAATTAATAAAAGAAAACATTAGAAGAAAAGATAAAACTGTAAAAATAATATATCTCTTTCAAGTCTTTATTATGTATCCGAATGTGACTTGAATAATTTTTTTAAATCTGGTGAAAATTTTTCTTAGAATTTTTAAATAAATTAAAAGACTAGAAATACTGAGAAAATTGGTCTTTTCATAGAATTTCTCATATACGTAAATTTTGAAATATTCTAAAATTTCTCACTATAATTTTTAGAAACATATTTTAAACTTTCTCAGATTTTACAATATTTCATTGTAAATTATAAAATAAAAAATCTTAGAATATCTTGGAACTTATATATATAATATATATATGAAGGAATCTAGAAAAATACAGAGCATTTTGTAGCATTTCTAAAAAATTTGTATTAAAAAGCTGAGAAATTTTCTAAAAAAATTGTGAAATTCAGAAATTCTAAAATTTATATAATAACAATTCTATCACAAGAAATCACATGAAATATTCTGAGAAAAATGTTCACTAGTTAAAAATATAGTGTAATATAAAATAATATCAAAATAATCACTTTTTATATAATTTCTGTTCTGTTAATATTGGTAAAAAAAACTTTGTTGTCTAGTCTGATCAATTTATTTATCTAAGATACCTTTTTGCCATTATGAAACCATGCTGCACCTAGTATGTGCTCACCAGGGAAGTATGTAGAACCTATTAATACCCAATCATTCAAAATATGATCCTTCAACATCCACAATTGCACATTTCCAGCTGTATCAGCCATTACCAACTTATCACCTGGCAGATCCCATTCTAATGCAGTAATGTTGTGTTTATTCGAAAGTACTCTGGACACATACAAGAAACACTATTATTACATTTATCTTGACTTTTTTAAAAAGCTGACCTTTTAAAAAAAATTGATAAAGACATTAGTCAATAGAGATTAGGTAGATATAATAAAATATTCTTTAAAGAATATTATAGAGATAATAATTTAAAAGATTAAAATGCTTACTTATGTGTATGCCATGGCATATTTAAATCTGCTACATAAACATGGCAACCTCGTGTCTTGCCATTACTATCATCTAACTCTGTCATTGTAGTAAACGCTACTATATTTCGACTGGATAAGGAACATAATGATTGTCCATTGTATAAACTGAGAAAACAAATTGTTAATTAATTATTTTAACACATATTTAATTAATTTTTTTAATTAATAAGTATTATGCAAAATTTTACATATTAGCTATGAAATGTTTCATTTAATAGAACTGTTTTCTGTAGCTAAAACAGTATATACTTTTAGAACGAAATAAAATAAATATATTTTGATATTCGGTAAAAGTGAAAAAATTTTTGTGCAATCTCTCTCTAATACAGGAATAAAAAAAAATATATTGTATATTTTTTAAATAACATACCATTCTTGATTGGAAAAAAATTTGGAAGAACTTCTCCTGTTGACAGTATACAACAGATCCATCTTTTTGCGTCTTCTTAATTATTCTTGGAGAAATACAATCCTTATAATTTTTTTCAAATTAATAAGGATGCTAAATCGTTTTCTTCAGTCTTCATGAATACCACTAGGTTAGGACTTCTTTTTTTATAAAGTACATTATCCTCTGTAAGACTCGCAGATGTCACAGTAATCCTTTTCCAGAAGAATAAAATGTCTAAATTGTGAAATCTCTACTGTTGTCGATATTTCTGCTAAAAAATGTTACAAGTGAAATATATTTAGCAGACACGCACTGCAAGTACTTGACACTAATTGATTACATATGGTTTACATTGGTTGCTATTTCGTAATTTTTATCTTGAAGTTTTTCCTCCACAGGATCAGGAAAATACTACAAAAGAATTTCTTAAAAGTATTTGTTGCAGCACTCCATTAATTAAAATTTATTTCCTAAACTATGTGGATGTGGAGAATGGAGATTAGAATTAGACATAAATGATGTGATGGGCCAACTCTCTAAAGCCCAAAACACATGAAATGCATAATAGAGCATCAAAAACTGTTGGACCAATAAGCATCCAGCATAATTTAAGCCGTACAACATCGACATATGTACATACATACAACGGTACAGATATCCAATAGAAGAGCATGTTTCCTAAATATAAACAACAAGCGTTATGTTGGATTCACACTACATCCGATTTTCGTCATACAACGACTCTGCAACCAATCAGAAAACAGGATTTTGCTTAATTACACACTTTATTATCAATATTTCGTGAATGTAGCACGAAATACAATTAAAAAGTTATATGAATATATCATTTACCCACTGAGAAATATATCGTGGAGTGGCTACGTAGTTCAAAGTCCACAAGTTTGTGGCCTTAGAGGCCATTACGGCTTTCGAATAAAAATGAGAAAGACAACCAATGACAATAAAGCAACTTTCCTTTCGTATTTCATCATTTTATATATGATCCGTGATGATCCGGAGCTGATCAGAGTTGATTCGGAAATAGCAGAAAATAGCCTTAATAAGATATAGATAAGGCATACTAATTTTTCTCACGAGGATACAGTTTTCATTTGGTTTCTTTGTGATCCTATTGTCACAAATGTTGAGTAACATCGTCAGAAACAGTCTCTTACCTCGTAGTAAGAGTATACTGCTTAAAAGGTAATTACATTACAACATCAAATCAAAGTCTTTAATTAAATTAAAATCTTTAACCAAATAAATGTCTTTTTGTCTTTACATTAGTTGAAATGTATGTATGTTTGTTGAAATGTGTGTGTGTGTGTGTGTGTTGTGTGTACATTTCAAGTTTATTATATGAAAAGCGATTTGTATACGATTTCTTTAAGGAGCTTCATATTCAAAAGTTACATTTAAATAAATAATGTATAATTTATAATTGACCGTGAAATTTTTCTAAGGAAATTGAAACCAAGGTTCGAAACATTTATGCATCTTAATTGAATAAGATAAAATTAATGTATACTTGAATATTCTTTGTTGGTTATGTAGACATTATTATTTTGTTGATTTTTGTTACAGCTTGATTTCCATTATTTGTTGAAATTTATTGTTAAACAATTTAATATAGTGATTTGTTAAGAAAATTTACTTTTTACAGATACAATGCACGGCAGTTGTCATATAATAGCAGAAGTAGATGGGACGAAGTAGCTTATAGGAATCAAAGCAAAACTTTGGAAAACGAAGATGACTTGGATAAGCCTATAAAATATTCCACCTCAAAAGCTTCTACTATGAGAATTGAAGAGTATCGCGATCCAGATGGAGACAATGTACCATGGTATCAGCCATATATTGTACATATGAGCTTAGTTAGCTTCCTAATTTATTTCTGTATCTTGAGAGAGGAGAATGATATTGATGAATTATTGTATACTGACTTGTATACAACATTAGATAGAGTGAAAAAGGAAGAAGAAAAGCAAACTTAAGTAGGACATTTAATTATTTAAAATAGTCGGTTTATTTTGCAAAATTTTTTGTATAATTGTTTTTATCATATAATGTACATACACTTTCCATAAGGATTGTTAGCAGACTCTTTATTCATTTTACAGTAATATTTATCTAAATATATTCTGTACAGAATATCAGGAAGAGATTTATTAAAGAAAATGTCTTTTAGTGTGTAAATAAAAAAATATTGATATATTTAAAATGTTTAAGATGTTTTTTTTATAATGGATATAATAAATAACCCCATATAACATTATTCAATATTGTGCACCACTCAATGGATGGATAGCAAATAATTGTGTCTGGAATGCATTTTTTCCACGTAAGTCTCCAAGGAGCCACAACCATTGTCATCGATAATACTGTCAATTCTTTCGTACAGGAAGGGTGTAATCTGATGTCAACGATACCTGTAGAAAATTATTTGCAATATTAAATGCTAGTTGTTATCAAATAATAATGCGTTATTACAAGGAAAAATCAGAAAGTTGAAATTAAGGAAAATTAAGCTTAGGATGCATATGTCGCTTCGACGACAGTTAAAAATCTTCACAGACGGAATCAGAAAATTTGTAGGCTGTTACCAAATGTATTGAAAAGCTGAATTATATAGAAAAATGATACCTTTTGCATTGCACGTGAGGATAAATAAATTCACTTAATTTTTTGAGATTTTCATTTGTACGTTCTTTTTTTTGAGATGTAATATGTTGCGCTACTTACTACAAGTGCAGTAAGACCGCATCAACCATCTCCAAAAGGTGTAAACAGGCATAACTTGTAGATAGAACTTCAGTCTGGTCAGAAAACCGCCAAATGCGATAGACGCTAATCTGAGCTGTAATTAAACTATAAATAATGCCGCAATTACATTTTACAGTTTAAAAAGATTGAAGTGGATACTCTTACCAGAGTAAATACAGTGTAGTACACCCACGTTGTGGGCATTAGGAACAGGAGAATGGTAAATGACAGCGTTCCCACAAACAGCTGATCCGTCTGATATTGACAAGAGTCCACTCTTTCGCGTAGGGGATTATTCTTCTTTCCAAGGAAAAGTCTAAAGAGAGCCGTGATTCCTCTCAGCTGAATATTGAAGAGTCTATGATGAATTACAGCTTTTTTTGAATCATTTCAAATATAGGAAATTAATAATTTCATTACATTAGAGAATGTGAAAAGACATTACACCTTGCTGCATAAACGTAAATGCAGTACGTGTGAAAGCTGACAAGAGCCAGAAGGTCTGCGACGATGGATATTTGAAATGTGATGCCAAGCCGTCCAAACAAGAGCAGTACTTCAAACGCGAAATCTAGAAGCGGTTTTGAAAATATTAAAAATGTCCACCAGAGCTGTATATGATACAAGAAGAATTTGCCCATGGTATTGTTTAAGACGTGATTAAGCTTTAAGCCAGCTGGTACACCCATCAACCAATTAATTAGCTCCTTTAGACTCTCCACAACTTTCTGTCAAATAAAAATTCTAATTATTAAAGCTGGTAAAAATAGAAGTAAAAATGTATCTCAAATATGTAATATTCAATTTCAAATAATAGATAGACAATTAAGTTTTTTATTTTCTTCTTTACTTCAAATTAATTTTGAGATCAAATCTGTTCAATTAAATTATTTAAATTAAAAATATATTTAATCAAATTTGTATTAGAAGCAAATGTAGATTATTTTGTTAATATACATGATGTACACAGTATGTACATTCAAACTTGCCTCTGCATTGTTTAGAAGAAGCTGTGACGGTTGATCTTCGATATAATATCTCAGTAGTCGCAATACGAAGATTCCTAATGCTATATCTATTATAATTGCTAGAGCATAGTTTCCTGTTTTCAGTTTAAAGTCTCTATTTCGTATAACTGTTGCTAACATCCACTTGACATTTTCCAGCCAGTGATAGACATGTAAGCCAAGAGAAGAGTACTTCAAAATCGGCAATAATCTGTCTGTTATTTTGGATAGTAACAAAACAAGATGCAAGTAAAAGGATATATGATAAGTCAACAGAGTCTCCCAGATATGAACAAATCTAGACTTTATTCTCAATTCGTCCTTCTTACTCTGTATAAGCTTAGCAAGTTCGTGAAAATGATCGCCCGATGTTGTTTTACTCTCAAACAATTCTGTTTCTAGCAGCGCTTGCTGGTTATATAAAATGATCATCGTGCGCATTGCTGATAGATCAATTTTTTTATTATTAAGAATGATGTTCAATAGATGGTATTCTTTGTTCCGTCCATTCTCTGAAGGTTTTGTCGCAATGTGTACCCAGTTTGCATGTTTTCGTTCTAAAAATTCTTCAACAGCCTCGGTCTCATTAGAATGACATCCGATAATATCTAATGTAGACTTAGTTGATTCTACTGAGCCCACCTTACGCAAACTGATAATGTAAAACTTTTTCAAGCCACTGCAGGTGTCGTGTATTACTTTACCAAGTACATAGCCAGACCGTTCGGTGCACAACGTTTGTGGAACAAATATTAACAAATTGTTTGTCATTTTTGCAGCCAGATTATCCAGTCGGCAAGTCTGTAGAAAATAAAGTTTGTCAAATAATTGCTAATACAAATTTTGTGGATAAAAAGATACCAAATTTGATGCTAATTCTATTATATTCAGTGTCAGCAAATGGTGTAATGTACTGAATATATGTATCTATTATTTTTAGTATTTCCTTTTTTTTTACCATTTTATATTACAAGAGGTAAGTATTATTTCATTATTCAATCACTTTGAGATACATTTTCCACTCTTTTTTCTGTTCTGAATGCACCCAAATGTGTGTGTAATCATCCTGTGGTAATCATATAGCACACACAAGAAAACAAAAAAAAATTTTTTTTTATTTAATAATTTAGTAAACTCAAGTGACCTATCTTAGTTTACACAGTTGTATGAACTGACCAATCACAGTCTAATACGAAGAGAATATTTAACTGTGATTAATCAATTTTTATAAATACGCAATTGTAGAACAAACTATAGGTTAGATACGGTTAAGTTAGGTTAGGTTAATTGCATCTGTGATGTGACCGCATGGCGTGTTTTATGTTTGTCTAGTTTACCGTGGTTATAGTCGAGTAAAGTAGTGTGTTGGATGATATGATTGCAAGTGCAATCGATGAAGCAAATTTAAAAGAGTCAACATCATATTTCCTACAAAATGGATAGCGAAAAGAAACTAAAGCGTAAACGGAAACGGAATGAAAAGGAAAAGACCGACGGTCAGTTGGTTGCTAGCAATTCTGAGAGATTTATTTATTTATTTTAGCATCACTCTTATTATCATTCACCTGCGAGTGAAATGAATTCATTATTGTGACATTGATTTTTGTTAAAATATTTCATCATTAACAAACTCTTTTCGTATATTTGTATACAATAAATCAAAATATATCATCTCTTCTAAAGAGAGAGAAAGAGAGAGAAACAATAAAAAATTTTATTATCATTTATTATTAAAAATTGCCTAATTATTAAAAAGTTTAGTATATAGAAATAAATATTATGAATAAAAATAAAAATATTCTATGAAGATCTAATTAAACATTAACACAAATATGAGGTTTTATAATTTATATGTAATAATTATATTTAAGAGGTTTTTCTTGTTTTCATTATTTAAATTTTTTAAAGAAATATTCCAAATTATAAAATATGTCTTCATACAAAGATATATCTATATATATATAAAGTATAATAATATTATGTAATAAATATTTTTACAGCTTCCAAGAACAATAGTCATAAAACTGACAAGACATCTCAAGAAAATATTGTACAAAGTAATCAAAAGAAGAAAAGAAAAAGATTATCGAATGAAGCTAGGTAAAGAATCTAAAATTTCTTCTTTCTCATATGAACAAAATTGTTTTTGAAGTTAAAATTTAATATAAAAAACTTTAATAACAACTACATTAAGTCCCATATTAAATAAATTTACTAAATTAAATTAAAATATTAATTATATTAAAATTTTTTGTTTTATAAATTAAAATATCTATTGATAAAAAATATTAATTCATTGATAATTGATAAATAATAACATATAAAATTTAATTAAATAATTCTTTTTAGTAATGATGCCACTACCAATATTGATACTTCAAAATCAGTATTATCTTCAAAGGAAGCTTCAGATGAGAATGTAAAGATTACAAAAAGTCCATCTAAAAGGCAGTTAAAAAAAGAAAAGGCTATCCAAGCAGCTGTTAAAAAGATGGAATCTCGTAAAGCACATGTCACGCAAAAGGCATTAAATTATGTATCCATGGTAGGTTGTTAAAATTGTTAGAATCATTCATTAATATTTAAAGACTTGACTCTGGAATATTTTATATAAATATAATATATATAAAGTACATTTTCTTATTTGCATAACCATTTGTAAGCATTTTAGCAATTTAATAACTTTTATAAGAACAAAATTAATAGAAGAAAAGCACATACTGTTAATTCTATTGCATGTAATTTCGAGAATATATTAATTTTTTAATTATATTTTAATTCTAAATCGTTTATTAATTATATCTGTTAGGTCTTATTTGTCTTTTCTTTTTATTTACGATTTGATGGAGACAATTATAATTATTTAATTAACATTTCTCAAATTGATAAAATTGCTTTTACAGTGGAAACATTCTAGAAACGAATGGAAGTTTGAGAAGCTTAAGCAGATATGGCTGATGGATAATTTGTTGGATGAGAATTCCATCTCTGACAAGCTTTTTCCTATCGTTCTAGAGTACTTCGAAGGTTGTAAAGGCATGGCACGCGAAGTGTTATTACGTAAGGGAATGGAAATTATAAGGAAAGCTGAGGAAGAAATGGACGAAGATAAAAAAAATGAAATTATGCAGTCAACTACTTATGAGAGAGCGAGACAACTTCTACAAACTTTACCGACCGACAAGTAGTTTCAATTTTAAATAATTTTAAGCTAAAAAAACAGATAAAAAATTGTTGAGAAGAGCTATCTTTAACATATCAGGTCCGCGAAGTAGCAAAAAATAATTCGAATTTTTTTTAAAACAATTTTTAAGAAGAAACTGCGAAAAAGTTATATACATTTCTTATTGTAACATTATAGCTCAATTATATTATGCGACTATGTGTAGATGACTAATCTAGAAATCAAGAATTAACTATTAACAGCATGGCTACAAAAATTTTCAAACATTTTTGAGATTAAAATAAATTATATTCAACTGACATAATAAATATAAAGATTATATTAATTAATAATAAATAAATATTAAATATTTATTCAAATTAATCATATTTAATTAAATATATTTGTATATATATTTTTCAATAACATATTGTGATGAATAAATAAGAAATACAGATATCTATTTACTTATTTTGTTATACAAAAGCAAGGCTTTTTGGCACTTAAAATGTCTGAAATATTTTCTAGTTTCCATAAGGTTAATATCTTTTATATGACAACATTCTATACAACTTAAAATGATAATTTTATTTTATAATATATTTCATAATTTTATTTCATAACTTGTTAACAAATAAAAAAGTTTATATTTTAAGAAAGTGTCATCTTCGGTATTTCATTAATAAGACCATTTTATTTAATCTTGTTGAGAAAAATCTAAACTTGTTTTGCACAATATTACACATTTATATATAATGGCTAAAAAGAATTTACTATAAACATAATTGCAGATTTCAAAGCATCATGTAAAAATTCTCTATACAAAGATTAACAAGCACCGCAACATTAAGAGATAATTTACATAATAATTTTTTACTCCGCATACTTATTAACAAACTGTCTGAGTTTGTCAGTATCTTGAAGACCGACTATTCTCTCTAGAACCTTTCCATCCTTCATAGCAATGAGCACGGGCACCGATCCCACCTGAAAATTAGTACACGATGAAATATGCGTTCTAAGGAAATCAATCCAAGTTTAAAATTAATCATTAAAAATAACGCTCATATAATTATTTAATTATAATTCTTTCACTTGGGAAAGATCAACTTAGTAATTACAAAAAATCTCATTAATTTATTATTTTAAAATTAGTCTCTATGTTTATCAAAAGACTTGTTCTTTTTATTAGCTGAAACCGTTCTTGTACCGTTCATCTTTCCTCTTTATTTTCTTCAACATGGAGAGAAAACATAAAAATTATACAAGATGATCAGCTGAAAAGAATAGAACTAATGTTTAGTGATTGAAACTATAAAAAAAGGATACATACATGATAATCGAGAGCGAGGTCTGTATGCTCGTCAATATCAACTTTAGCTAACAGTATCTTTCCCTGTTTTTCAGCAACAACCGTTTCTATTCTTGGGGTCAGCATGCGACATGGGTTGCACCATCTGAAATAATTACAGATAAGGCATTTACTGAAATTTTGTAAAAAAATCCCTTCAGAATTTCTTGATTTTTCAGGTATATTTGTTCAAAATTCCAGAAAAGATTAGAGAATTTTTTAATGCAATTTTAAAATAAAAGAATAAAATTGAAGTGCAAGCAATGCAAATATAAGATATATATTGAAAATTAATAGAAGACAAAAATTTCACAATGCATATGTACAGTTTGACTATATCAATCATTTTCTACAATTGGAGTCATAAAAAAATCTATAATAATAAAGGAAAGTTTTTTGTACAATGCAATATCAGTAAGTACTGTCTTCTATTGTTAGATTGATTTCTTAAATAAAAACTTGTGAGACACAATTCTACTGAAACGTGGAACTACAATTCTATGTAATGCTTACGTGGCAAAGAAGTCCACAATGACAGGCACTTTGGAGTTCATTACACGTTCGTGGAAATCTTTGTGATCCTGGACCTTGAAGGCAGCAGATACCACTTGTTCCTGTGCAGGTGCTGTGGTGTATAATCTACTGCCCAAAAGGGTTCTGCCTGTGCGGACAGTTTGAACTCCCAGACGCTGCATCTTTCAGCTTCTTAGTTGTTTGCTACTCAAATAAAATGCGCAAAATTATTAATTATACATCAAAATAGAATTGCCTCCCTCTTCCTGCGCTTTCTCTCTCTCTCTCTCTCTCTCTCCCACACAGTATTAAATGTTTATGTGAATCATCTTTTGAAATATTTCAATAAAATATTTTAGGAATTGTTTGTAAACGTTTGTAAAATATTTTTAGATATTGCATTAAAATATTTCAAAAAAATATTTGAGAAAAATTTCATTAAATATTTCTGAAATATTTCAAATCTCGCAATAAAATATTTTAAAAATATTTCTAAAATATTTTATGCTGTATGACTTATACTGATAAAGTATTTAGTTTTTCATCACTATTTTCATATAGCAGTTGCTTTCCATTTTCATGTATGTATTTTATACTCAAATAATGATATCACTACTTGCTTTGATGACAAATGGCATTTTCCACTGGAAAACTTATTTATATAAATAATTTAATTATTTTAGTTAGATATTCTTTGTTATCATGATAATCTTATAATGTTAAAATAATTAAATTATTTGTTAATACTGAAAATATGTAAATTGATTTGCATTCAATTGCACTTAGCATGCACCAGTGTTGCATCAGTTTTCCCAATGGAAAACGTTAAAAGTTATCAATAATAATACAGATTTATAACCTCACATTTAATGAGTTAATGACTCACAATTGGCACAGCATATAGTCTCAAGCCTGTGCAGACTTTAAATAAACTCAGCTGAATTACTTGTCAAAATAAAAAAAACATGCATTTAAATGAATTATAACGTCATAGATGAGAATTATGTAAGTTTGGTACAAATGAAAAACAACCATCAGCTTATTTATTTGATCTTTTAAAATTTAAATGAATAAGAAACGTCGGGGTTTCTAGCGTTAACTTTTTCTATAACTTAGATATCACATCATATATTTTCAAATTACATTTATATCTACAGATTTCATGATTGAATTTAGCAGGCCAAAACGTTGACAAGGCGTAAAAGCAGACAGTTTGACATTTTGACATCAATATATCCATAAGTATATAAATAATTAAAAAATAGCTTGCAATGTGATTTGACAAAAGTCGTCGTTTTAAGAAATTTGGACTGAAAATAACGTCCGACATTTTGGAAGTGACATTCATTATTCCCTTATTAAAAAAAGTCTTTCGACATTAATTAATGACTTTTTTTTTTAATCACCACCTTGTATATCTCGAAAGACGGCGATTGCACCAAATTGCATCACAAACTTCGGTTTTCACTCACTTAAACGCACCTCAATATAGTAATACTTCTATCGATACGTTAATTTATGGATATATTGTCTGCGTATTGCATTAATTTCCTTTTCTATTGCTAAATTTAAATACTTATTACAAAAGTTTACGACACTCACCGATAATATGACAATAATAGATATCTATTGTTACTTATGAAAGGATTTTTCCGCACACGCATAGAAATTGACGCGTCAGCTGATCGCGAAGTTTCACACAAAAAGTACTGTACTTTTTACACTCTGCTCCTTAATCGTAGTTATAATTAAGAGAAGGAGAGCGGCCTTGCCCGGGATTGAGCTGTTTTTCAATTCGAAAACAGATGTACGGACGATTTCGACAGTAACAGGAAAAAAGCCGGGATGAATTCATCTAAATACTTGAATTGGTATTTAATTTTCATATATACGAATATAGTTTATAGCTTATATTCAGAATGTATTTCAATGTTTGAAACTTTACAGTAACGTGAATTATGTTTTAAATACACACTGTCATTGTAAAATTGCGTTTTAAATATACGCCAACTTCTCTGTCCTCAAGAAACACACAGCAACAAAATTTGAAAATTTCACTAGCTTGTAGCAGAGCATCGCGCCGCTTCACGCCGCATCGCGCTCATTGGTTGACTGCGAGTGGTGGGGATCGAGTCTGAACGGAGCATGTAAATCCGCGTGATTCGCAATTTCGGAATTCGGCCAGACTCCAGAGGACGTGAGAGGACGGGTATGAACCTGTCATAACTTGTCGTATCACGTTGGAACAGTTCGCAACTCTGGCGATTGAATCGTCGATTACTAAAAAGGACCTATATCTTTGAGAAGATGAAACGACGAGAAGCGACTCATAGAATCATATAGGACTACAAATGAGGTAACTAATAAATAAATAAATATTAAATTATGTTAATATATTTATACGTGACGCGAGAAACATTTTAAGAACCTATCGCTTACTTAAATTATTAAAATGTTTTAAGAAAGCTTTCCAACAAGTGACTGTGTAACATGTGATCGTTTTATCTTTATTTAACGTTAACGAACAAGGATGTAATAATTTATTCGCGCGCGCGTGAATGCATATTTCGTAAGTAAAATTTGGCCGAAAAAGTAGCGTCGTGAATAATTTTAATAATAAGATTTTCATATCATAATTTACAAGATAAAAATAACAATCATAATACAAGACGAGTGGACTATTATAATAAATATAATATGTATATGCTCATTTTGTATGATGATTATTATACTTTCGTATCTCGAGCGTTAGATATATCTATATTTCTATAATACGAAAAATTCATAAACGCGACGCCAAGAGTGAGAAGCGTAGCGACACTATGCCGCGTCGCTTCTAACGCGTAAAGTTAACTACGCAAAAAAGAAACTTCTTCGCCATCTTAATTATATCTGTGGCTTTTCATTTACAGATCGTAATGAGCACGAGACGAACCGACTCTGAAACGACCGAGTGGCATCGCGTGATCAAATGGTAATTGAAATTTATATTATACCTATATATATGGGGCATTCCACGCCAAATCGGCCACTCAAAAACTTTTGGATTTTTGATTTGGCTGAAATTTTGATATATTATAGTACCCATCGCAAGAAGCATGATTTTTTTTGAATTTTGTTATGAACATAATCATGAAATATGAATTTTTTTAAAAACTCGCATTTTTCAAAATTCGCAATTTTCAAATGCCTATAACTTTGCGAAAAATAATCCAAATAAAACGTTTTTTTTT